TGATCCAACTTGCACTCATCTCTGGTGGTCAACTCAGATTTACTGCGGTCCCGACCACAGGCTCCACACACCAGTGTCGTTCCTGAATATCAAGAGGCAGCAAACTTTACAGAACCCAAGAGTGAATAGAAAATGCATTAAATTCACAGTGGGTATGCTGCGGGAGTAAAAACTCCTGCATAGATATGAGAATCTCTGCACAAAGAAGTGCATCCTACCAAAATGAATCAGCAGGAAAAGGCTGTGCCCTGCAGGGATTTCCATCAGCGCGCCGAGAACTTGATACCAAAGCCGGCGCCGGCTCCTTTCATCCCGCCTCAGATTGGTGATTAGATTGAAGAGCCCAGAAGACGAGGCACAACTCCTCTCCGCCACAACGAGAGGAAAAGCAATGTTCCACAAGACTACACATTCATTACTCAAAATAAATCTCCATTAAACAAATGCCACATGCATAATTAGGCTATAGGAATAATTATAATTGTGATTAGTTTCTCCAAGGGCACTCTTACATAAATTGTGATTGACACCAAGCAAAGTTTGGAGGGAATGAATTTAACTTCGGAGATGCACGGACTCCCAGGGTGGTGGAAACACGCAAGTGAGTCCCACTCGGACTCCAGATTCAGAGGAAAAGCAGGTAACATGGGTTCTTTACTGATTAAGTATAGTTACTGCATTTCTCTATTTATAGGAACCAAGGAGGGTTGTCACGGTGTGAAAATCTAACCTCATGGTTATTGTGACCAAAATTATCACGGTTTTCAAGTTTATCGCAGTATTTTTTTTATGTGTTACATTTTCAGACAACTAAATAAACCCTGTATATCAGGAAAATATTGTCCTCAGTTTGTGTCTAAATTTTGCCTAAAATGTGTTATTTTGTAATTATGTTGTTTATTTGTTTACATTTTTTTCCTTTAGTCTTTAAAATACCAATATTTGCCCATAACTTCTTAATTTGTCAGTTTGATGTCATTTTAAAAATAGATCAGATGCTGCTCAGTACTCAAGTAGCCTTCTAATCAGATACTTTTTTACCCTTACTTGAGTAATAAACCCTATATCAGGAAAATATTGTCCTCGGTTTGTGTCCTTCCAGTGATCTTTGCAGATGTGGGAAAATGTCATCAGGCAGTAATCATTGTTAAATTCATAATTATTCTCGGAGAGAGACCAAATCTTATCTGGCCCTGGGAGCCCCGTAATGCATAGCGTCATTTCAACATGGTGGTGTCCGCGACACGGTTTATATGCAGGTAGCGACGCTGCGGCTGCTTTATATAGCGACTCGTTGCATTCTCCCTCAACCCAAATCCTCGGATCACGCATTTTAGCTAAAACGCTAACGTTAGCTTGCCTTGCGTTGACTGTAGAGTTGTGGGTGACGGTCACGCAGATGTATCATGAGATTTCAAGCGTTGCTGCCTTTCACAGACACTTTTTCTGCACATGCTGCAAACAGGATAGCCGTCTTCTATCAACTGTCCCTCTGCATTCTTCAAATATCCAAAAAACGCCCGTACTTCCCCCTTTGCCTTCTTTGAGGGATAATAAATGTCCTGAGCGCTGTCGTCTCCTCCTTTGGCCGTTATTTCAGCTTTAGCTTCAAGAAAGTTTTGGTTGTAAACAACAAAGTGCGCATGTGCCGCCGGCAACTTCAGCAGATGATACGGTGGCTGGTAAGGGTCACCGCGCCTACACCGCAGCCACGGTAATCCACCGAGATAATATCGTTTTTTAAAAACAAGACGGTTATTATTATTGTCTACTTTTTAACGAGGTTTACTGCTACACCGGTTACCGTGACAACCCTAGAACTAAGTAAGCAAAGATGGACCGATGTGGGGTTTTCTAAAGCCAATAACAGATATGTGCTGTTGATTTTTATGGCCAACATAAACGTTTCCCCATCTTATTTACCTGCTAAACATTTCTAAACAGTTTCTGAAATCAGAATCTAATCAACAGTTGTGTGCACTACTCGGTATAAAAATCAAACATGTAAGGGTTGAATATGGAACAATTTATTAAAAAGCTACATGCTTAAAAATAACACCTCCACGGTTCGTTTAGAGGTGTGCAGAAGGAAGGTAGAGTATTTCCTTTGAAAGCTATAAATTTAATTAAAAAACAATCCAATATTTTCTTTGACGGATACGACACTAGGTTTGAGTTCACATCCACCAGCCAATAGGACAACGTTGGGTGTGCCAAACAGTCTGCTAGGCACAGTGAGGCGGCACTGTGGAAAATGGCGGACTCGGACAAGACAAGCAGCTGATTCTGAGCCCAGAATGTTTTCCCAATAACTCATTTAGTGACACTGATGACAAAAGTCGTCATTTTAAATCCAACCGTTCACTGCCATTGACCACTAAAGCTGTCATTTGCAATGTTTTTACTGTGTGGGCGTCGGACGAGCCCCCGCGCCGTGAGATCAAACATCCCAGCTCTAAAGCTGATCTTCATCCACGTACGTCACACGTCACGTGATCAGGAAGCAGAAAATCCATGTGTTAGGAGATCGTTTTGGGCCGCTGCTGTAAAAAAAAAAAGTGAGGCGCGAACCGGAGAATCTTCTGCCGATCACAATTCGACAATGGATTATGAAAGAACGGATAACGCTCGAAATGCGCGGATTCTTCCTGATGTAAGAGGTAAGTCTCCTCTCTGTTTTGATAGTTTTGGCGTTGAGATCATCCCAGCGTTCTGTGACTTAAAAAAAACAGTGAAAACGCTGAAAAACGCTGGCAGCTGGTAGTCCTTACCCTGTACGATTCGTCGCTGGACACGTCGCCGGCTGGTCACTCCACATATCTGCAGAGAACCTGGAATCCAGACGGTTGGAAACCTTGTTTAACCGTTGCAACAACAACCTCCACACACTAGATGTCGCTTTGGTGTTCCATATGATAAATGACCCGCACTTGTATAGCGCCAAGCGCTTTACACTAGTGTATCATTCACCCATTCACACACTGATGGTGATGAGCTACCATGTAGCCACAGCTGCCCCGGGGCGCACTGACAGAGGCGAGGCTGCCAAGCACAGGCGCCACCGGTCCCTCCGACCACCACCAGCAGGCAATGTGGGTTAAGTGTCTTGCCCAAGGACACAACAGCAGAATTCTCTGTCCGGAGCCGGGATCGAACCTCTAAAATCTATTTTATGTTGTTTTATTCTGTTTACTTGTCCTTTAGTTGTTTTCTCTGCATTTTTATTGTGTACTGTGTTCCTTCTCCTGTAAAATGACCTTGGGTGACCTGAAAGGCGCTTTTAGATAAAATGCATTATTATTATTATTATTATTTGACAACCCGCTCATCCTGTTGAGCTACTGCTGCCCCAAATGATAAATGACCCGCACTTGTATAGCGCCTCTCAGAGTAAGGACTAAAGAAGCTAAAAGAAATGTCTTTAAGACTATTAAGCTTTTTTAGGAACGTAAATAGGTGTGTAAATAAAATAAATACAACTTTAGAGTGAAAACTAAAAATGTAACAGAATAATAAAATATATATATATATATATATATATATATATATATATATACTGAAAACAATAAAAACCTGCTGAAACACACCAGCAGCAGCATAGCAACAAACCTTCCTTTCTGAGGCTTCTATAAGGATATCCACGGATGTACCAGACTTAAAATCAGCTCAGCTGGTGAGGAACATCAGCCGATAACGATGTATTATTGGTTCATATGGGCTCAATATATCGGCCGATCAATATGTTGGACATCTGTCCATTTCCACACAAAAAATAAAAATAAAAAATAAAAATAAGAAAAGCATGTTCAAACAAACCTGGATTATTTAGTCATTTTTTAAAATTAAAACAAAAATTAAACAGATCAGAATAAAATGTGTGTGTGGCGCAAACGCATCTTTCTGGACAAGTTCGTGGCCACATTTGTTATTTTTGCTTTAATTCCTACTGAATTAGATGGAACCTGGATAACAGCCATGTTAATCCCAACATGGAGCTCATATAAAACCATCATTAAGCAGGAGAAATACTTGCCATCTTCTCTTCTAAATTTGAATCATTTTATACATTATAACCTTGGTTGATTAGTGCAGAAATAAAACTTATCCCGAGTTAAAGAGTTCAGCTGTAACACTGGTCTGAACACCGGCAAACACAGATGTCAACCACACGGGGGCGATGCAGGGAAACAAATCTAGTAAATTAGTGACTAAACATCAGAACTCGGGCTTGAACTGATGGATCTCGATCCAGACAGGATTTTAACCACAAAGAAGAAAAGACCCGTTCCTGTGCATTCGTCCCTCAGACGTTAAAGAAAATCTAAATGATTCAGTCTGCAGGAAAACTCAAATAACCTTCATGTGAGAATTAGCCTCGAAGTTTTAGTTAAACACGTCAACATTTATATTCTAAAACACCTCCAGAAGGAGCAGCTCGAGTCTCGGGCGTGGATCCGCTGGCCGGGCCAAACAGAGACCCATGTGGAGGTGAAGCGGTGTTATTATGGTCTGTTTAAGCAGTGGCTACCACCTTTCATCTCCAGAGAGACACAATAAGCACCCCCCTCAGCTCCTCCCAGTCTTTGAACTCACCAGGTGGTGGGGGCAGCAGCGGTAACATGAGCTGAACAGTTGTGTGTGTGTGTGTGTGTGTGTGTGTGTGTGTGTGTGTGTGTGTGTGTGTGTGTGTGTGTGTGTGTGTGTGTGTGTGTGTGTGTGTGTGTGTGTGTGTGTGTGTGTGTTAAAAACAGCCTCAGCTGCTTTATTAAGAGGCCCAAAGGACCCAGGCAACTCTTTTTACATTTTTACGAAAACTCCAAGATCAACAGATAAAAACTTCGATAGGAAATAAAAAAAAAAAAAAACATCGAGCTTTAGCAACCATAACAGATAAAATTATAACATTATAATATCAGGCAGCAGAGTCCGACCTGCCCTTAAACTACTTTAATTATGTAATATTAACCAATAATATAATAAAAATTCACACGATGAACAGCTGTGATATGTCCACATTTATTGTGCAGTGACTTTTATATACATACATATTTTTTTACACCGAATGTACAGAACCAGTAATAAATTAATCTGCTAATGTTCTTTAAACCATCATCATCATCTTTAGTGTTGGAGAAACGCACAATAAATCCCAGTGACACACGAGTAACAAGGCAGTAATAGAAGTACTTTTTCTTTAGTGTTGTAACACACACACACACACACACACACACACACGCACACACACACACACACACACACACACACACACACACACACAGAGAGGCTGTCTGTAAGAGAATCTGTTTTTTATATTTACTAAAGTTATTTTGAAACCCTTTAGTGATTTTGTTTACTTCAGACTCAGGTTTTCTGTAAGCAGTGAGACACCAATAACAGATTAAACACCATAAATAAAATAACTCCGTAAAATGAGGCTCTGCTGGATATTTATCAGTATCTGAGTGACGAGTTGAAGATAAAACAAATACATTCGCGTGTTAGCCGGCCTTTCCACTAGACGCGTTTTGCCCGAGAGATCAGCGGCGCGTCCCAACGGAGTGTTTCAGACACGAAAAAGCAGCAAAAGTGTTCCACACAGTTTGTCACAACATCTATGGAAAACTACTAAATCACGCGTGATTTCAGCAGTTCAAACGCTTACAAGAAAGGTAAAGCCAGCAGCAAGCATCCAAAGGGTCTGTGGTTTATTTCCTGTCATTTTTCCCCTCACAGAAAATGATGCTCTTTTTTTGTTACTCCTTAAGCAACTAGAAATCTTCACATGACTTTTATTTTGAAAGCTCCGATACGTTTTACACTGCTTTCATGTTTAACTTCCTGTCTGGCCCGATCTGAACGGGGCCGGACGCGTTCTGATTGCCAAGTGTGTAAAAAATAGACTTAAAAATCTAAATTTAGCGGACCGAAGGAGTCACGACTGGTGGGAACACACCCACCGACTAACACAGCAGCTACTTCCTTCCTACGCTTCGCAGACGTTGCAGGACGTGTCCAGTGGAAAGGCCCGGTCAGTCTGAGGCTAAATAAAAGTCAAAAGAGCCTGAACCTCTCACAAACTGCCTCTCAGATATCACACGTGACCGTTATTGTTGTGCTACATAAAGTAGAGATCACCGACAACAGACGAGAAGATAAAACTGGCTATGAGTGGAAACCTTACAAAAGCTAAACCCAACAGGTTAATGCATAAATCCTGTTTACTGTGTGGAAACAATAAAAAAATACATTACCCAGAGAGGTGGGGGTCCACACACGGCAAAAGGAGGGGGGTTAAAACTTCTCATTTACACAAGAGCCGTAAATACAGACACGAACCTGCTCTCTCTGAAAGAACAGACCAGAACTTTCTACTGCTAGCTATTAGCTAAAGCTAAACACCGACACCAACTAGACATGCCTTTGTAACGCAAAAACAACACATCAGCTTCAACCTCCTTTTTCTCTCCGTATGGAAACAGAAGGATTTCTAGGATACGCTGAAGGCTGTTTAGCACTACGCCGCTGTGAGCAGCTGTTATTCTAAAAGCTATCAAAACATGCAGCTTGTGGTGAGTTTCTACAGTACTATTCAGTAGTTGTTGGTGGTAAACGTTTGTTTTTATTATTATTTATTACTGTTACCATCAGATGGCTCTGTTGTTCCTAAGCCTCACACGCAAATCAATTAGGAATCGCCGAGTAGAGAAATGAAATAATAAAATCACATCGCACTGAAACATCTGATTATTGCACACTAGCACGGAAATACCAAATGTTCATGCAGGATGTGAGAGAGAGAGAGACAGAGCGAGCGAGCGAGAGAGAGGGAGACTGCTTCTCAATACCCAAGTACGTTCTTGGCAAGTACAGCGGCAGGACGAGGGCGGCGTTCTGAACTCTCTGATGTCATGGCAACAAGCGCTGCTTTATGCAGCTACTGGCCTGAAATAAAAGTCTACTTAGTTGCTTGAATAACAAATTAAGATTGAATACATTTTTTTGTGTAATATTGGGTCCATGTTTGTTTCTTTAATCAATCCTTCTTAGAAATTGAAAAAACACCAGCACTTCCCGCTCTTCAATAAAGAAAAATAAGTTTCTTCGATCAAAACGGAGCTACTTAAGCCGTCGAATAAAAAGCTAATTTTACAGGTTACACACAATTATCTATAAATAGTAATTATCTATGTTTTAAAGAGCAAGACACCCCCAAATCAACTTTTTGTTTTTCTGATAAACTGTATAAATGCGTGTCTAATTGTGCTGCAGACACGTGTAGTCAATAGTTTTGTACTTTAGTGCATTTTAGTTAAAATTTTAATTTTCTGCCTAAAACTGTCAGTGTTGTGCCGTTGTCGGGTAAAAACTCTGCACTGCATTTGAATTTAAATCTGCCATCGCTATTGGCTAAGAGGTACCCTAGAACGTTAGCTGGTACCATATGATGTCACAATGTCGTTGTGAGCCTGTGTGTGTGTGTGTGTATTTGTTAGCGGCTCCGCCCTCTCAGTCTGCTAGGAAACAGCATTTGTTGCATTTTTCAAACAGGAAGTGGGAGTGGAGTAATACTCTGGTAGGGGGTGACTTGCTCTTTAAGCATTAATTATTTAAATTTTTTATATAAAAACACAGTTATGGGCTTTCTCCTCTGACATTTGCAAATCGGGGCGTAACCGTTTATGACACAATGTATTATGGGATGCCTTACCAGCCCAAGTCCCTGCTGCATCCTTGATAGAGTGGGCGGAGCAACAACACATCCAGGAACTTGGGAGTGTACTTACAATACGCACTTAGGATTGGAACAGTCCTTGGACAAACGTTGGATGACGTTTCACAAGTACGTGAGTGCACAAGTACAGACGAGCGAGAGAGAGAAACTAGAGTCAAATCAGCTTTTGCTCACGATGAAATGCGATAGTGATACGAAGCTTTGGAAGACTAAAGTACGTTTGTTCGTGAGGAGGTCAGAAACAACTACTTTACACACGACTAGAGAGAAATGCTGAACTGTGCATGAGGAGCGCCGACACCAGCTGATCGAGTGTCACCGTAGGATCTGATCACAGAACCATTCAACAGAAACAAGGATAAATGTGGCATTTTAGCGCAAGGGCATCAACGTGGAAAGTGTTACATCCATTACCCGACATTCATGTCACCGACTCCGTTAGAAGGTTTGACGTGAGCCGTGCTTCAGTCCGGAGACGAATTACAATCCTTGCATAAAAGTAAAAGACAAGATCCAACCTGAAACCGCTCTGGACACCGGACTAGACAAAAGGGCTTTAAGGCGAGACTGTGACAGAATAATTAGTGTGTGGGTGAGGGAGAGTGGGGTGCTGCTTTGATGGACCTTGTGTTGGATGGAGGGCGGAGGACTCCTGCTCCAGCTCAGGGGGACTGAGAACCTGACCTGTAGCTCTTAAAGCTGCCCAGCAGACTCTGCACCCCCTTCTTCACCCGCCGAGCCACGGAGTCGGTGGGGGGCGTGGGCAGGCAGGAGGCCAGGCTGGGCGGACGGGCGTCCAAACATTTCTGGTAGCGGAGCTGTAATAATAAACAGAACCTAGTCAATAAAACTGATTGTTACATGGATGGTTGTCATGGTAACCATTCCCTCACCATGCAGGCCGCCTGCACGGCCTCGCTCAGACTGGCGGCGTTGGGTTCGCACCAAAACATGTGACAGAAGAACTCTCTGGGGCCTTCAGCCATGATGAAAGCAAAGGTGTGGACGTCCTTCCCCACGCCCATGAAGGACAGGAAGCGTACTCGACACTCGGACAGCACCTCCTCGTCCTGGTGGCACATAAAAAAAAAAAAAACCACGAATCACGACTTAAATCACCTCAAGCTACAGTTTTAATCCTCACAACAGAGTTAAAACAGCACGTGAAAACTTTCAACTCAACAGCGTGTCGGCCATCATCAGAAAATCCAGTCAGGACGAGAAGAAAAAGCATAAATATTCACGTTCGGCTGAACTCCGTTACCTGTCGTGAAAGTATGGTGAGGGTGGCTGGTGCAACATTCACAGAGACAGGCGTCCAGTCCTTTTTGTCTTTGACAGTCATCGCTACCTCTAATGCGTCATTTATGATATCCACTCCTGTCACAACATGCATATAAAACACGTTAAAAGATAATAACAACGTTAATAACGAAGGACCTGGGTCTGCTCACCGACTGGTCTCGCTACTGACTCACAACCAAGATAATAGACATGGAAGCGCTGGAAAAGCTCGTTTTTGGGAGCAGGAAACTCTGCAGAGAAATGAGGAAACGTCTCAGTATTTGGTTGTACTGCTGATTTCTCAAAGGGAGGTTTCAAACTGCCTAAAAGGTTTTACCTTCAACAGGGATGACCAAAGATCTGCTGGAGTCAGAGCAGAGTCTGCTCAGGCCTGGTTTAGCAGCTTTTCTTTCCATCATGATCTAACGATAAAACACAAAAAAGTTAAAAAACATCATGAACGAACAGGCCAATCTGAATAAATACCGACCTTCGAACACATCTCGTGTAAGCTGGTGGCGATGTTCTTGGCAGGTGAGTCACAGCGGAAAACGTGACACTTCAGCACCTGGGTCAGGTTGTCTCGGGCCACGTAAGCAAAGTCCCTGCAGGAGGAATCCCACAGACGAGCTCACGTTTACGTTCAGAGTCAGTTTATACAGGTTAGAAAGACACACACACACACACACAATCAGGACAGGAAGTATTAGTTTCTACCTTTCCCTGATTGTGATGAAAAAGCAGCATGAAAGAAGAAAAAACACAGAAGTCAGAAATCAAACAGTAATAAATATTTTCACGTGTGTCTGCATTTCCATCAGTAATCCAGCAGATGGCAGCAGCACACAGCTACCACACATGATCACTTCCAGTGATAAGACTCTCAACTGTTGTTAAATAACTTCTATAAAATAATGTTTTAAAAGCATTTGGGACATAAAGCTGTGAAATACAGATAATTAAACAGCATTTCTGCCGTGGCGTTGTAGAGACGGACCTCCCGTTGTCTCTGCCGACGCCCCAAACACGGATGCTGCCAATGGGCTGAGAGTGAAGCAGATTCTGACCCAATGGGTCAATCAAGTTCATCGTGTCGTTCTCCAGGACCATCAGCATGTCTTTACCCTGTTGGGACGAACACACAAAGCATTATATTTTACCCGTCATTAGTAAATCATGGCTGATGTTTAGTTTTGAAAATTTAATTAGGAAAATTATATTTTTTCTTTAAATTAAGCATTAAGACAAATTGATATTACAAGCTGCAAAACTAGTTTAAACTAAAATAATTCAGGGACCATCATGAAATAACTCCGGTCCTCCAGGGATCCTACGCAGCATGTTTTAGGGTTGTCAGGGTGTGAAAATGTAACCTCACGGTTATTGCGACCAAAATTATCACGGTTTTCGGTATTATCGCGGTATTTTTTTTAACGCGTTACGTTTTCAGACAACTAAATAAACCCTGTATATCAGGAAAATATTGTCCTCAGATTGTCTAAATTTTGCCTAAAATGTGTTATTTTGTAATTATGTTGTTTATTTGTTTACATGTTTCCCCTTTAGTCTTTAAAATACCAATACCACCTGTTTGATGTCAGCATTTTAAAAATAGAATCAGATGATACTCAGTACTCAAGTAGCCTTCTAATCAGATACTTTTTTACCCTTACTTGAGTAATAATCCCTATATCAGGAAAATATCGTCCTCGGTTTGTGTCCTTCCAGTGAGCTTTGCAGATTTGGGAAAATGTCATCAGGCAGTAATCGTTGTTAAATTCATAATTATTCTCGGAGAGAGACCAACTCTTATCTGCCCCTGGGAGCCCCGTAACGCATAGCGTCATTTCAACATGGCGGTGTCCGCGACACGGTTTGTATGCAGGAAGCGGCGCTGCAGCTGCTTTATATAGAGACTCGTTGCATTCTCCCTCAACCCAAATCCTCGGATCACGCATTTTAGCTAAAACGCTAATGTTAGCTTGCCTTGCATTGACTGTAGAGTTGTGGGTGACGGTCACGCAGATGTGTCATGAGATTTGAAGCGTTGCTGCCTTTCACAGACACTTTTTCTGCACGTGCTGCAAACAGGATAGCCGTCTTCTATCAACTGTCCCTCGGCATTCTTCAAATATTCAAAAATGCCCGTACTTCCCACTTTGTCTTCTTTGAGGGATAAAAAATGTCCTGAGCTCTGCCGTCTCCTCCTTTGGCCATTATTTCAGCTTTAACTTCAAGAAAGTTTTGGTCGTAAACAACAAAGTGCGCATGTGCCGCCGGCAACTTCAGCAGATGATACGGTGGCTGGTAAGGGTCACCGCGCCTACACCGCAGCCACAGTAATCCACCGAGATAAAATATATTTTTAAAAACAAGACCGTTATTATTATTGTCAACTTTTTTACCGGGGTTTACCGCTACACCCGTTACCGTGACAACCCTAGTGTGTTTTAGTTGTTTCTCTGCTCTATCCCATCTGATTCAGTGGTTCAATCACCTCTGTAGGAGGTGATTAAAACCAGGTGAATATTTAGTGTGGCGACCCTGGAGGACCAGGAGTGGACATGATTGTCCCGCAAAGACCAGCAGCGTCCTCTCACCTCTCCCCAGATACCAGCAGTGTCATGGAGGTTGTGTTTGTGATACGAGAGTTGCCTGATGCAGTTGTTAACAGCAACGCTGCTCTTGCCAGGGGCCAAGTCCTCCTCAGACATCTCCACCCAGCCGAGAGAACGAACTGCAAAACACTGAAGGCACAAAAAAAACAGCAACTTAGCAACAACAAGTACAATTCCTACAAATAAACATGTTCGAGTTGTTTTAGGGAATCGAGATTGGCATAAAACATTCTGCACAAGCTCCTCTATAGGATGTCTCTTATCAGCCTCAGTGTTTCCCCTAGGAACTTTTCCAGCTGTGGCGGTGGGGCTGGCGGGGGTAAATTATGACACGTCTCTAAATAAAGTAAAATTTTCTAGTGCAGAGAGGAGACAACCCATAGAAGCACTGAGTTGATCTCATTTCAGAGAAAAATAGAACAGGTCAGATGCACCTAATAAATAAAATTACTAACAAACTCAGGAATCTGTTTCTTTGCTTCACTGTTCTGGTGCTGAAAATATCACTAATGCGGATTAAAGGAGATACACAGATGAATGCACCTCTTATTTATTATTTGGAGACTACATTTACTGCAGCTGGCAGAGGCAGAGATTTTTTCTATTGATACACGGAGTTTACAGAATCATTTAAAATTTTAATAGGGGAAGACTGCAGGAGGGAGCGGTAAAATTCAGGGGGTCCCCAGCAAAAACAAGAAACTACGAGTCTGATGAAACCCGCTGGTTTTCCATCAGGCAGTCACGGGGCAGCTCCAACGACCCAGTGGCTGTGCTGGGTCAATGTTATCGAGCTCAGTCCGGCTCGGCAGAGGGTGAACGAGCCGAGGCGACGTCGTGCTCTGCTTAAGAAGAGGTGTTATTTTCCCGCTTCAGAAGAAGCGTCCAACGTGTTTTTACGCTTTCTCCGAGACATGTCACGTCGCTAAGTTGTTAGCGCCACGCGCTAACACGTCAATAGTGCAGCGTAGCCTGCTGGAGGTTTTAAGGGTTCAGATGAAAACACCCGACCTCTCAGGCTGCTCACACATCGATCTTAAGTTGTCGCTGTTGCGCTCACGCCGTAATACAGTATTAGATGCGGTTAAAGTCAGACATGAAAAAATAAATTTTACATGAATAAGTGATGCTTAGCCTGGTGGGGGGAGGAGAACCTGGCCTAATAAGCACTAGAGGAAACCCTGTCAAGATCGTCAACACTCGTTTATCTTAATGCTGCTGAAACATGTAAACCAAAAAGCATTATATCCACTGCTACCTTTCTAATTTTAAACTCGGTAACTTATGCTGTAACTTCACCTTGCCCTGCCTGCTCCTCCTTGCTGCCCGCCGGCTGTGATCACAAGCGACAACATAGTAGTTCCCGCTGCTTCTTCGGGAAACAGCGCAAAAAAAAAAAAAACAAACAACAAAAAAACTTGGGATTTCAGCCGTGGCGGGCAACCACGGCTACGCCTATGTAAGGGAAACCCTGAGCCTATTAGTTGGAACTCTGAACTGCTCTGAACCGGTTGCAGGTTGTCCAAAATGCCGCTGCTAGGTTTTTAACAAACACGAGTGGACATAGCCATACTACACCAGACCTGAAACGTCTTCACTAGCTCCCCATCACATTTCGTGTGCGTTTTAAGATATTGATGTTTGTTTTTAAAGCCCTACACGACCTAGCTCCTCCTCATCTGTCCGAGCTGCTGACTCCCTAAGTACCTACTCGTATGTTCAGGTCAGCTGACCGTCTGCTGCTTTGCATTCCCCGGATGGCCTACAAATCACGAGGTGAACGTGCGTTGATCCATGCTGCCCCCATGCTCTGGAACTCATTGCCCATTACAGTTAGGATGGCATCCTCTCTGCCTGTTTTTAAATCTCGTTTAAAAACCTACTTTTATGACTTGGCTTTTAGACGGGGATTCATGTTATCTTATTATGATTTTATAGTTTTTATTGTTGTGTTTTATCTTCTCATTGTTTTTTCTTTTTTGTTTTAATTGATCCTGCCTGTTCAGCACTCTGGTCAGCTCTCACGCTGTGTCATAAATTGTGATATAGAAATAAAGTTGGTATGGTAGCCTTACAGGCTAGATGTAAATTAGAAATGTTTTGCTTTTCTACATCTAAACTTGCAATAAATGTTCCACACAAGGCCTAATAAAGGACTCCTTTTACTCTTATTCATTCATTAACTTAACTACTTCATCCTCAGTAGGGTCGTGTGGAGCTGGTGTTTAACTCCAGCTGTCATCGACACTCTGGACAGGACAACAGACAATTACAGGGACAACTTAGAGCAGGGGTTCTCCATCCTAGTCCTGCATGTTTTCATTGTTTCTCTGCTTCAGCACACCTGGTTTAGTGGTTAAATCACCTGTTCAGCAGCTCGTCGGACTCTGCAGAGGCCTGTTAAAATCAGGTGTTAAAGTAGGGAGACAACAAAAGCACGCAGGACAGCAGCCAACCAGGACCAGGATTAGTAACCCCTACTTTAGATTATCCAGTCAACCTAACATTGTTGCTTTGGACTGGTTTAAGTCCTATTTGGCTGAGAGGTCATTTTGTGTATCATTAGGTGGCTTCACGTCATCTCGCTCGCCTCTAGTATGCGGGGTTCCTCAAGGATCAGTGCTGGGCCCGTTGTTGTTCTCTCTTTATTCGCTACCTCTGGGTTCTATTTTTACGAAACATGGATGTTCTTTTCATCTATATGCAGACGACACCCAGGTTTATATTCCCGTTAAACGTGGCCTACCCAATTCTTTAGAACCTCTTCTAAACTGCCTTGATGAGGTTAAAACCTGGATGTCTGCAAATTTTTTACATTTTAATAATGACAAGACTGAGGTCATGCTTTTCAGTCCTAGTGTGTCCAGTGGGCCATGTTCTGCTGACCTTGGTCCACTAGCCCTATTTTTGAAACCTGTAGCGACCAGTCTGGGAGTCTGGCTTGACAGTGATCTGCTTCTGGAAAAGCAAATCAGTGCCGTCACTAAAGCCAGTTTTTATCAGTTAAGGAGGATCGCCAAGGTTAAGCGTCTGCTCTCAAATCATGACTTTGAGGCGGTGATTCACGCGTTTATTACATCAAGCTTTGACTATTGCGACGCACTGTACCTTGGTCTTCCTCAATCTCACCTCTCCTGTCTTCAAATGGTGCAAAATGCATGCCTATTGACGGGTTCGAGAAAGAGGGAGCACAATACCCCAATTTTAGTTTCGCTGCACTGGCTGCCGGTCGATTTTAGGGTCCAGTACAAGGTTCTTTTATTGGCTTTTAAAGCTGTACATGGCCTTGCTCCGCAGTATCTGTGTGAACTTTTAGTTACTCACTCCCCGTCTCGGTCACTGAGGTCAGCCGACCAGTTTCTCCTGGAGGTGCCGAGAACAAAGAGAAAGCTCAGGGGTGATAGAGCTTTCTCAGTAGCAGCTCCAAGGTTGTGGAATGCACTCCCAATCCAGATTAGGATGGTTTCGTCACTGTCGGGTTTTAAATCGCTTTTAAAAGACTCATCTGTTCTCAGTTGCTTTTAATTCAGTTTCAGAATGCATCTGTTTTAGTAGCTTTTATGTCAGTTTTATATGTTTGTTTTTGTCATGTTTTTACTTTGTGATGAACTTTTTATCTTGTTTTTAGAATTTTTAGGGAACTTCTGTTCTTTTTGGCTTGTTAAGCACTTTGGTCAGCTTTTATGCTGTTATAAAGTGCTACATAAATAAAGTTGACTTGACTAACACGCATGTTTTGGTGCATGGAGGGAGAACATGTCAACTCCACACTGAAAGGCTGCAGCCAGGATTCAAACCTTCTCGCCACAAGGCAACAGAGTGAGCTACTAAACTCCGCCCCCTCTCTCATTCATAACCCACGTAGGTAAATGTGGTGTAATTTCAGCTATGCTTAAATCAGAGAACAGCCCAGTAAGAATATTAAGACTTTCAGATTTGAGCATTTCTATTAAAATGACCCAAAATTTACCTTTGACTCTAAATCTGTGCAGAGTGGAGCAACCTTCTCTTCTTCATCAGACTGAGAGCAGTTGTAACTACAAAATCAGAGAAGGTTTAGAAAACACAACTAATGATAAAGTACTAAATACTAAAGACAGACAAGCTTTTGCTCTGCATACTTTAAGTTGATGGATGCATAGCGTAGAGTTGCTCCTTCAAACTCCTTCAGACTTTGATCCGATGGAACTTCTCCATCCTCCTGAACACACACCATTAAACACCATTCATCATTTAAGCTTAAACACACCAAAGAACAAAGAAGCCACTTTCATTACAAAGCATTAAACGGTCTGGTGTTTTTCTAGACACGGACTGACCTTCCACAGCTCTCCTTCATCCACACCATCATCTGTGCTGGAGAGCTGAGCCCAAGTTTCCTAGAAAAGTCAAATAAATATTAATAATCCATTATCAAAATAATAAGGATGATGTCGCTACCAGCCACACAAAGAGTCTCACCTCTGGTTCCTCACAGGGCGTTGTCTCCAGAGACATAGTGGAGGACATCATGGAGTCGCCAACTTTCCCCAGCGGAGAAGGAGGCTCCCACTGGGTGGTGCCAGTGGGAATATGCCAGTAATAGGTGCCTGATGTGTCCCGAACCCTCATCCACCCTGAAGGCAGGTCTGTGTCCGTCTCAAAGGCGCTAGAGTCCCAGAAGGACTCTGGAGGCAAAACAAAAAAACATATAAGAGTTCTGTTATAAAAGTTTTATGTAGCAGAAACAAGAAGTAAAAGACAGAACTGAGTAAACAAACACAAGCTGCTGGAGTAAATGTTAGAATAACTGGAGTTAATCAGCTAGTCTGATGATAAAACCTAAATGTACTGATAACAGACTCATCTATAAATGCTTTATTATAAAACCAATAAACACATATTTGTTGTTTCTGTTCTTTTAGTCAACTTAAACTAAGATTAGACTTTGCTGTATTATTGTTTTTGTGGTCATTTTGCTACCAGAACACTAAAGCAAACATTACATTAATCCAGTGTGTGGCGGCTTGGTTCTGTTTACCTCTGTTGCCATTAGGAGAGCTGTCTGACGGGTTGTCCTGTGACAGAGCAGGCCAGCTGGTCTCTTCATCACTCGGTGTCCCATTCATGTTGGAGAAGAGAAGGCAGGCATTTCTCCCGAACACTCCCCCCTCTCTTTGAGACTCTACATTACTCGACTCTACATCTTTTTCTTCAGTAGCTTCGCTTGATGTCTCCTCGTCTTCCTCGGATCTATCCTCCTTCTCTTTACCATCCTCTTCTCTCTCTCTATCTTTCTCCACTGTTGACTCCAGCGTGTCAATGAGTAAGGGCTCGTTAAGGATGTTCTTGGACTCCTCCTGACTTAGACCTGGAGTCATTGCTATTTTAGGAGACTTTGTCTGCTCCTCGTTTCCCTGTTGTTCTTCCTGAGTGATGTTCTGGTGAGGGAAGTCTTCCTTGTTGCCGTTCTGGTTGATATTGCAGTTATGATCCTGGTCATGTTGGTTCTCAGCTACTTTGCGTAGTTGGTTCTGGCCTTCCTTTACCCACTTGGTATTGTTGGCGGTGGACTCCTGGTCGCACCAGTGGCTGCCATCATTCAACTTGTTCTTCAGGTCTCCCTCTTGCTTTTGTTTATTCAAAACATAAGCCACATCTTCATCATCATGACCACCCATGGTTTCTTCTAACAACTAATCTGTTGGAAACATTTAAAAAATGATTAGCATCAACACCACAAGGACAATATTTAAAGAGAAAACGTGCAGAGTTTTGCAAACTTACAGAACATAAGCCATGCACAAAAATTGTCCAATATTTATTTTTTCATCTCTAAACACATAGCATAGCAACTTATACAACTTACATGTTTAGGTTCATTTGTAAAATATGAACAATTTTTGAAAATTAACACAAACTTTATCACCAATGTTTGTAAATATTGTAGATTAGACAAGATTAGACAAGATATGCCGGTTTTAAAAATGAAGCTCGTTTGTTGATCAAAAGTCACAATGACGCTGAGTGATTTACTTCCGCAGTAGGATTCGCCTCACAAATTTGAAACGAACTTCAGCAGCTTCACCATCCATTTGCCAACACGACATTTTCCCAATGAAAATACGATTAACAAACAGTCCTACAAAAGCAATGGATGCGTTTTACATTTAGATGAAATACCTTGAATGCTATCCGTTATTTTTTATTCTAAAACACGGTGTCACATATCAGATACCATCGCCACAGCTGGAGATAACGGGCATCCTCCGCCATCATCGTCGTAAGCTAATGCTAGCTTCTCTCTAAGCTAGCGAACTAGCTTGCAGGCAGATTTAAATACGGCAACAGCGACACGGTTTTATTCAGCTAAATGGCAAGAACGTTGACTTACCAGCTCCGCCGAACCCCCTGCTGTCGAAATAAGATGAATTGGTGAATTAACTACATATTTCCACGAGTCGTGAGCGTTCGCTAGGTTCTGGGTGTTTTCAGTCAGTAGTATCAGATAGTGATGGAAGGCGAGCTTGCGTCACGGACTTACGTCACGGCCTGAGCCCACTGCTGCCTCAGGCTCGTGCAGGAGGGCAAGCTACATCATCACGTTAAGCAGAGATTTAATAAAGTTTTTAATACTTTAGTGCTCTAAAATCACATTAAAGTGTGCTCTAATAATTCATATATTTGTAAAAATTAAACTAAAAGATACACTTTTTTCTCTTAAAAATGTACTGAAACGTTGACTTGCTTTTTCTTAAACTCAGTTCTCACCAAAAGTGACACATCAAAATGTTTCATGTTTTATTTTAATGCACTTTTATATAAATACATACATTTGTTTGACTCATCCTTTATTTTGGCTTGAACCACGTGACAGAGGAGGCACAGGAGTGATGCAGGAGACATTTCTGAAGATGGAGAAGGCAACATGCAAACCAGACCAAATCAAAGAACAGCCAGTATTATGCTGCAATGACAGTTGAAAGGGGAAAAAATCCTATAATCTGGATTTTAAAAATAATTCAACACCGAATGCTTTGAGATTCAATAAGAAAAAGTAAAAATAAGAACAAACATGAGATGTAACTCATAACAATAGTATAAAAGAATTTTGCTGATATTCCCAACAGGTTTTTGCATCAGAAAATAAAAGGCTTGAGTTTCAAACCAGGATGTCAACACAGCCACCGTACGATCACAGCAGAGCACCAAGTTATTGTTTAAACACACTTTTTATTTATATTTATATATAGAGAGACATGTTTTTCATTGCATACAGTCTGTCTCACTAAAACCATAAACAATAACTATTTTCCACGACTTTGGGTTAATCTGTTATTTCTTGATGAGTCACCACTTTAAAGGATCAATCACCTAAGATTTTCTTATAAAATAAGCCCGTCTGGATAAAGTAAAGCCTTAAAACCACTGCTCAGATCCAGCAGACCATCATGCTGAACTCCACAGTTTTTCAGTTGTAAGGAAATGATTGTACTCAGTCCACATGATTACAGCTTAGACAATGAACAGGCAGAGACAGCATCAGCAGATCAGTGTCAGAGACCGTAATAAAAAACGATACCACACTTAAACAAATGCAATGTAGCCGAGCTCGTCTCAGCACCGGAAACTACAACGAAGCGACAGATGAAGATTTTTAAGGCAATACTGGCAGGCACCACCATACCAAAACGTCGCATTTGGGTTAAAACATTTAGGTTTTCATTCAGTTCACAAGAAAAGCAGAGATTACTTTCACTTGTCCTGCATTTTGTCCAGAATTGGAACAATCATGTCAAACTTGGGCCTCTTAGCTGGGTCTTCGTTCATGCAGATCTTCATGAGCTTGCAGATGTGTGGAGAGATGCCGGGGGGGATGGTGGGCCGCAAACCCTCCAAGGCAACCTGAAAATAAAAACATCATTCAGTCAATAGGTTCAAAAGCAGCGGCACATTTATGTTATTGGTGAATTAATTCTATTGATCTGCATTTGTAAATATAATATTGACCTTCATGCCTATTTCCATGTTGGACAAATCTGCAAAGGGAACCTCTCTGGTCACCAACTCCCACAGCAAGATGGCGAAGCTCCACATGTCGGCTGAGCGGCGGTTGATGTCTTCTGGCTTCTTCTGCAGAGCTGAGAGTCACCCGAAAACACAAAAGAAGCAACAGTTAGACAGTAAAGATCATATTTTACGGCGCTGCTTCTAAACAACGCAATCCCACCTAAGTTCTGTTGTGATTTAGCTGCTGTAATGTCAGTTGCCATGGAGACGAAATTAAATGCAAGGAGGCAAAAGCAAACTCTGAAACGCTGTGAGTCACAAACACATGAAAGAGTAAAAAACATCTAATTTGTGTGGGATGAATCAGATTCATACAACAAAAACCAGATTATTCTAGAGGGTGAAGACAGAAATTCACCCTGTCACACCACCTGAGGTCTGTAAGCAACATTTAAACCGTTTCTCTCAAACTCTTCAGTCCACGTCATCCAAAAAGTCTCTGAACTTTTTATTTAGTTTAGAACTTCAACTCTATCAGACATTTCCCATCACACCAAACACAAACAAGGTGTTTACCTACCTACCTGCCTACCATCTGGGTGTCGTTTCCATGGAAACTAGAGACAAACCTTCAGTACCATGTCTGTTTTCTGAAGTTTTCATGCTTACTGGAAACACTTCCTGGTTATTCTCACAATCTGTGATTAGTTTATGTTTCTAACCCACTTGGATCCCTCCGTATCGCGGGGGTGGATCAACAGTAAATTAAATCAGGCTCTAGCATCGCGTAAAGCTCTGAGCATCCATCACTCTATTGGTTTTGTGTCGGTTCAGATCTGGGCGGTATGAGCGACGCCTACCCTCGGGGGCTACCCATGCAGGCGAGTACATCCTGCCGGGACACTGGAAGGAGAACTTGACGTCCGCCATGCTGATCCTCGCCGTCATGTCTTCATCGATCTGTGGAGATGAGAAAATCGTGTTTTTTTTTTTTTTTTACCTAAACTTCCCAGGAGAAATCTGCATGACAGATGTTTCTTATCCTGACAGTTAATACAAAGCTACAGATTCCTCTTACCATGATGCTTTTGCTGTTGAGATAATGACGAGGGATCATGGGTTCGAGCGTGTGTAAAAAGGCCATCCCAGAAGCGATGTCCAGAGCAAACTTGACCGCCTGAGTCTGGTCCACCACGAGGTCTGACAGCAGGACGAGGAACAAGTGAAAAACGCTTCTATTCTTCCACAAGACCGCAACATTTCTGCTCTAGAACGCTAAACTGATGGCAACGTTTGACACGCGTTTGATCAAAAACGACAGAGCTGGAGTCAGCAAATCTGGAGTTTTGGACCATGGTGGACATACTCACTAGTGCCCTCATGCAGCACATTGTAGAGGGAGCCACAAGGCATCCAGTGTGTGATGATGATGGGGTGAGGGGCGGGAGGAGACTGACACGCTCCCAACATGGGGAGGACGTTTGGGTGGGAAAATATCCTGGGATGAAGCCAGAAAAGGGAGGGGCGGCGTGAAAGACGGACAAACAGATGTGTGTCACGTGTGAAATAACTAAGAGTTTGAATTCGTGCAAAGCAAACAGACACACGAGTGAACAGCAGCAGAATCAGTGTGCAGATATCAACCTGAGTTTGGGATACTCCTCGTTAAAGTCTCTGCTCTTCCGAGTCGTCCAGTCCCGGATTTTGAGCACCTTGACAACAATTTCGTTTCCCTGCCAACGGCCTTGCCACAGCTACGTAGAAAAGAGACGAACAGATACATCAGGAGCTAAAAGGGTCGCCTTCAACTCATCTGTTGGCCCGTTTCCACTATCGTAACTTCTGGGTGATCACCATTTCACCGGGCCATCCCAAAAGGACCGTTTTCTGGGCCGTTTCAGGCGCAAACATACGTAGACACCCCTTGGACTGGCGCTGCCTACTCGAGCTGCCGTGGTGGCCGGCCGCCATCTTAGACAGGTCACCATTCATTTCTACTGAGGAAGGTGCCTACCCAACTAAAAAAAAACATCCTATGATCCATTTTTTTCCTAAATCAGACACACGGTATGATGATGATTATTATTATTATTAATGAGATTATTAAAATATAAAGATAATTAAACAAAATACATAAATATATATATAAAAATCCCATCATGAAGGCTGGAAAAGTCAATAGTGATCCGTTTTCAACAGAACGTCAGTTGTTGCAACCGTAGGCTGCACAAACACGAGCATAGTTACGCTGCAATCCAATATGGCGGCGACGCTGTAACTCTTTCCAGCGCCCAACCGGGCGTCAACATATTCATGTCAATGGTTTCAGTTAAAATCACGACGTGCTTTGTCACAATAAAACTTTTTTAATGTTATTGTCCCCGGACGCCTTTTGGCGCTGATCAGTGATGTCACTCACTGCTGAAATGGTTGTGATTAGAGGTGCTGAAAAAAAAAGATTCAAGTCTGAATCGGGATTCTTATTTAAAAAGATTCAGAATCGATTCCAAGAACTCAAACATTTGGCACGTTACAGGTTTGAGATGCACTTTTTTGATCTTTGTTAGGAGAGTCAGTACTCCGATTACTTTTGTGGTCCCATAAATTGAGATGATTTATGTTTGAATCTGCTGATAAGAGGGCACTTGAATGTCATTTTGTCCATACTCAGAAATTTGAGATATTCTCAGATTTATTTTCTAAGTTGATAAATGAGTACTCAGGATTACTCATGTAACTTGTTTCTACACATACTTGAAAAGTATTTGACCGTATTACTTTCAAAGCTACTGTTAGGTAACTACAGATTTGTTATATTTTACAAGGTAAGCAAAAATAAATGTTGCCTTTTGGTCAAAAGATTGTTTCTGTTTACAGTTTTAGAATCACTTTAGTTTACATTGTAAATTAGCATTTTTGGAGCACGACCAGTTTAAAGTCAAATAAAAATGTCCCATAGCTTTAACTATCTTGTACAACAAAGTAGTTCATCCTGGAGCTGACACGCTTTGTTAATACTGACTGTGAATCGATTTAAATTGAGAATCGATTCTGAATCGGCACCCCGAGAATCGGAATCGAATCAAATCGTGAGTTGCTCTAAGATTCACATCCCTAGTTGTGATACGCTGACACCCTAGCAACGTCCTGACAGGAACGGTTTTGTACGGAGACCCAGCCATTTTCCCCGTTACCCCCCCCCCCCCAGACATTCCCCAGAACTCCTCTGGTGGAAACTTGGCTAATAAGGATAAAATAAAACGGTTTAAACATCATGTGAAGTACCTCTCCAGACTGGTTTTCGTTTATCTTCGCTAGGAGAGAGAGCTGCTTGAAGTCGATGCCCGCTTGTTTGTTCAAAGTTCCGTTACCTAAAAACACCCAGAGGAGAAAAGCTTCACATCAGGCAAGAACATCATTTACGTCACATGAACCAATTCTTCCACAACCCCAGTGAGATGAATTATGAGTCCAGTATGGAACACTTTTCCCACCATGACTAATCCGGTGAACGGAAACTGGCCTGCTATCAGAACGGTTCTCCGCACTTACGGGGTCGGGTTCTGGTGGTGCCTTTCCAGAACGTGTCCTTGAAGGGGATTTTTGTTAAGCTCTGCCCCATCTTCTCAGCGTTTTCTAGATGGTGCAAAAGTGATCAAAGGAACACTTTAAACTGACCCTGAAATCCTCTTAGAAATATTCAGGTACAGCAGGATCACCTCTGAGGAGCTCGCGCAGGTGAGGCTTGGCCTTGTCCGTGGGAGTTTCTCCGTATTTGTTACAGATGCTCACCTGAGCCCCGTTACCCACCAGGTCCTGTGCAGAAGATCGGATTATTGAGAGCCACTCTTTAATAAACCAAGCAGCCGCCTGTAGGGGGCGCACCAACCTCAGCCACTTGGTCGTGGCCCCAGAAGCAGGCGTAATGCAGAGGCGTGTTTCCGTGCTCGTTGGCTGCGTTGGTGTCTGCTTTGCACTGGATCAGCTGAGAGGAGGAGAAACGGAGGATTAGGAGCAGATAAAGGCCGGTCAGAGCTTGTTTGGGCCGAACGGAGCTGAAGTTTGGTGTTGCTGAGGAATCAAAAACGTCCATCCGGCAGACGATGAGACACGCCTTCAGTTAAACTGTAAATCTGTCAAGTACTGATTCTAAATCACCTCCAGTCAAAGCTGTTTGTACACAAACTAACAGATGTTTACTTGACTAGCATGCCTCTGCATTGTGAGCATCAGTAAATAAGAAAATCCTACGAGCATCAAGGAAGACTGGGACAAAAAAAAAAACTTCATTTCATCTATTTTTCCTTGCAGACAGAGCCAGAAGAAACTGGAGGGAAATTTCTCCTTTTTTTTAAACAAATTTCCAGAAAAATACAATTACACGTGTCTTTATAGAGCGGAAACACTCCTGCCACGTTAGTGTTTGACAATCACAACTTTAACTTAACCCCACAAGCTAACATGTTGGTTCTCGCCAAACCAAAGCACATTAGGCAATATGGCTGCACCACAAGAGCAGAGAACATTTCACACTCATGATGACATCATCTCACATTTCACAATATCCTGACTTCATGAAGCAGCTGTGGCCGAGTTATTGTTCATCCTGCTGCGTTGTCATCTAAGCCATGTGTAGAAACAACCTATAATAATCTAAAACAAAGCTAATTCTGCTACTTTTATTAGGACCACGAGTCCAAACGCTCACTCATTTGATCCAGAGCAGCGCAGAAGGTTAGCAGGAGCATTGCTTGTGTTTACATCAACTCCCACCTTTCCCACAATGTCGCGGTGTCCGTGGCTGGCGGCCAAGTGCAGCGGAGTGTCGTCTCCCCGGTTCATGACGTTAATACGAGCTCCTCTCATGATGAGCATGTCCACCACGCTGGAGCGCCCCTCCCTGCAGGCCCAGTGGAGGGGGCTGAAGCCGTGGTCGTCTCTGCGGTCACAGATCAGAGGGTTCAGTCAGAAGAACACAAAGAGTCTTAAACAGCTGCGTGGGAGAGCAAACGGCGCCACGCTGCACTGAGTTTGTGTTTTCATAAATCACCATCACTTAATGATTTGGACATTTTCGACTAGAAGACGTCACAACAGCCTTCAAAGACATCTGAAACTTAAAGGGGTTTAGGGGAAACAATAGTAGACATTAGAAGGTGTCCGAGTTTGTCACTCTGCAGTTTTCTGGTTACATCCTCCCACATCCTCTCCCTCCCAGTAATGAAAAGCTGTGCCAGTACTTCATCCCACTCATCAAGTGCTAGCATTAGCATTAGCACAGCAGCCCACCACAATGCTCCTGTTGACTGATCTATGCAGATTTCCTGAAACTAGGCAGACAGATGGCAGAATTGAAGGATCTGTGTGTGTGTGTGTGTGTGTGCGTGCGTGCGTGTGTGTCTGTGTGTGTGTGTGTGTGCGTGTGTATGTGCGTGATGAATCTACAGGAATTTGAACTTTCCGCCTTAAACATCATTCCAGGCTGAATCCACACATCCTGCAGAACTGGGCTCTAACAGATCCTCAGTCCCACTACAGACGCTCGTCTGTGACCCGCTACAATCACGCCAGATCTGCTCAGAGGCCATTTCCTGTCAGACCAAACCCTAAAGAGTCATTTCTTTTTCTTTCTTTCTTCCTTTTTCTTTCTCTCTTTTTCTTTTTCCTTTTCTTTCTCTCTTTCTTTTTCTCTCTCTTACACTCACTCACTCACCCAGCCTGTTAATTGTTGCACATAAAGTAACAACAAGCCTCTGTAAAATAAAATTGGCTCACACTGATAATCTGGGACACTTAGGCCTAGTCCACACGTAGCCGGGGTTTTATTTAAAAACGAATATCCGCCCCTCCAGAAACTTGCATCCACACCACCTCGTTTAAAAAAAACTCTGTCCACACGTACCCGGATAAATACGTTGTTAAGGACATGCCAGACCTGCAGGCGGCAGTACTTCCCCCGTTCTTAACCTCGTCCTTCGTCTGTGGTCTTCCGCAAGGAGCAGTAATTCCGCTTGCAAAAACAAACAAGCAAACAGCGCTTGGACAATTGATAAAGCGAGCGCAGCTCTGAGGGCATCCATGCTGTCGGCTGGTGTAAACACAGGTCGCACACGTGATGTCAGCATTTTTTTGTCGCGGAAAGTGACGTTGCGGACCTTAAAACTCCGGTTTTGTCTGTCCACACGCAGACACCCAAAACGGAGAAAACGCAGATCTTCACTTTGGCCGGAGTTTTTAAAAAGATCCGTTTTCGTGTGAAAAAACTCTGTTTTTGTGAGGATGACAGGCCAAAACGTAGAAAAATATCTACGTTTTGGCAGATCCCCGGCTACGTGTGGACAGGGCCTTAGAAAGTCTGGCTCGTCTCCAGGGAGACAATCTGTTCCTTTTTCAGTTTGATTACCAACTATTGTGACGGAAAACAACAAGTTAAATAATAAATACGCGTCCCTGCCCTCTAATGTCAGCTAAACGTGTTTTAAAGAAACATTTAAAGCCATGGAATTATTTATAACTGTATAAACATTTATTATTTAAATCTAGTTTCCAATCTGGTAATAAAATGATGAGATTATTAAAAAAAATCCATTTAACTGGAAACAGTTCATTTGCCCAATAACAAATACATTCATAGGAAATAACTGTTTACACGTTTTTTACGAGATTTAGATATTTGACATAAATAAAAACTATCCAGGAGGTAAGCTGGCCGTTTCAGCTAAAGGAAAACCAGTCAGTAAAGATTAAACTGGTGTGACGACTGGTTTCTAGCTCATTATAAAGGTCGGATTCCCCCTTAAAGCTAACTTTATCTACCAAACCCAGCGGCACCAGTGCAGGCTCACCCCTCCAAACCCATGGCGGGGATTTATTTCAGGCGTTCCCACCTGCCATCACAGCTCAGCCGAGCCAGAGGAAGAGCTCCAGCTCTGCACCGACGAAATCCCATTTCTATTATTTCATATTTTACAAATGATTTAGGACTTTGTTTGGAATTTTGGGAATAAAACACCTGAAACCATCGTCGTAAGTTCAAAACTTAGGAAGATGAAGCTGTCAGCAATGACTGGCGCCATCTGACACCCCAGGGGGATGAATACCGGATACATAAAGAAGGAGGGAAAATGATGTGCACTGCTGTGGCAAAAGTGCTCATTCCTCTTTAGAAAAGTTCAACGTTTGTTTGTTACACACACACACACTCTCTCTCACACACACACACACACACACACACACACACACACACACACACACACACACACACACACACACACACACACACACACACACACACACACACACACACACACACACACACACACACACTTAGATTTTCCCAGCCACGCCTACTACAGTAATCTCCTCCTCTTCCTTCAGCTCTAGTAGGTGGTGTGCGGGTCCCAGGAGGCCCACGTTTTGCTCCCATTAAGGAAATTCAGCATTCCACAACCGCTCTTTGTTTTGGAGTTGGATCAGAGAGAAGGATAAATCTGATGCAGATGATCTGATATGGAGGAGTGTAGTGGGTTTACTAAATCGGACAAAAAAAGGGGAAGACATAAGAGCTTAAAAAAAAAAACCGAAATGAGACATCAACTGGAAAAAAGTAGCTGAAATGTAATCAGCTAATGGGCCAGCTGCTCACAGGGAGGCAAGTCCACGCATCCCGGGCTTGATTAAATCACACCATCTCCAAGGGAAGTCAGAATACAACAAGAAGAAGAAAAGAAAACATCTAAAGTTCAGCAAACGTAGGAAGGGTAACAAAATAAGAGTTTACAGAAAATCAACCAGACTCAGCTGAAGATGAAAACCTCGTAGGAGACAGATTTTTGTGTAAATAAAAAGGCAGACCCAACATTTTTTTCTTTTATAATCTATTAAGACTTGATTTAAGTACAGTACCCTAGCACAGGGGCGCAGATAGGATTTTCAAACTGGGGGGGAACAAAGTTCCAATGCACCCCCCCCCCCACCCCACCCCCCCACACACACAGTATTGCAAGCGCCTTAACTAGAGTTCAGTCAGTTTGTGTAATTTCATCCAATGGTTTACGTACAAACTAACACTTTTATAAACGTGTTTGAAGCCATTATGCAGTGGAACGCTGGCAACAAAGCTCTGCCTGATCAACACTATAAATGATAAATGATCCGCACTTGTATAGCGCCTCTCAGAGTAAGGACTCCAAAGCACTTTACACTACAGTGACTACGTTTACATGCAGCCAATATCCGGGTTATGATCGGGTTAAGGTCGGTATTCGGGTTTCTGAGTTGATCAGAATAACCCGTTTACAAGCATAAATAGAAAGAGTTACCTCTAAAGCAGGGGTGTCAAACTCAAACGGGGCCGAAATGAAACTCTGGGACGGAGTCGAGGGCCAACTTAATATTTTTTGAAAAAGTGACCGCAAATTTGCACGTTTTCTTTAACAACATGTATGCAATTTTGAACCTTTAAATTTGGAAACAAACATATTTCTGCATTAACACTGAATGTGGAATAACCAAATTACACACGAGCAAGTCAGTTTTAAATAAAAGGCATCAGTGGTATTCATTACTTGTGGTATAATCAGCATTTTTAAAAGCTATTCAGGATTTATGTTTTCTTGTTTATTCATTTTTCTTATGTTTTATTCTACTTTTTTCTCCTGTAATAAGTGTCATCGCTGCTGTGACGTCTAGCTTTCCCCACTGAGGAACAATAAAGGGATTTTCTATTCTATTCATCTATCTGCAGCCTTTCCACTTCCTGTTTACTGTAGGTTAAATCTTTTCTCACGTGCCAACAACAAAATAAAAATATTATTTTATCTTAAATGAAAATGCAACATCTCACCTGTTAACTTTCATGTTTTGGAGCAGAAAAAGAGCATAAAACCAACATATTTAAAGCTCAGTTTGTTCCACTGGTTTACTGTGATGCTCACCTGTTCCAGCCAGATACCTGCATCATGGGGTTGATCTGAGCTGAGGAGGAGACTCCTGTTGTTTTGTTCATCTTCATCATAATAATGACAACATTAGATGACAACAGGTGCTCACATAGGTTTGTGCTGATGAACATGTCTGAGCAGCTTGACCACATTGTTGTGTGTCGGGGAGGAAACACAACCACAGAGCCGTGCTGGTTTGAGCGTGTCGCTGCTCGCTGGAGTTATATCAGCTCTGTCTGGAAGTTAGTTTGAAAACGTTCTCTTTAAGTCGTGAACACATTACTGAGCGGCTAGAATCTCCGTTTCTGGGCTTCAACGTCAGAAAACAGCTGAGTGAACTCGGCGCTGAGTGAGAGGAGTGTAGTTCGTCCGAGACAGCGGAGATGCAGACACCCAACTACCTCTGACTGCCTCGGCGCTGAAAAAACACAAAGGAGGGGGCGCGTCTGCTCCGCGCTGGCGCCGCAAGGCATCATGGGAGTTGTAGTCTTTGCGGTAAAATCGGCCAGTGGGCCAGTTTTAATATATTTTTGATATTTATCTCGCGGGCCACATAAAAATGCTCCGCGGGCCTTGACTCTGACATATGTGCTCTAAAGCCTGGTTTATGCTTCTCCGTCAGCTTTTTTGTGTATTTAAGAGACTTTTAACACGGACATATTTGTCTCTCATTCTCCCACCGCTTCATGTGCTCCCCACCTCTAAACCCACGTTTCCTGTCATTTCCGTCCACAAAAAACGCTTGCTGTGCATCTTTTCACTCCTCCAGTCACGGGAGAATTAAACGTTCATATTTTTAGAGTTTTTTCGCGAGGTATTCTTCAAGCTTCTCTGTGTCTGCCGCTAGTTAAACTCTGCTCTCTGCAATGGCGGCGCTGTAAACAACAGCGGCGCCCTGACCAATCACAAGCTTGCGTAATCCGTCTCGTTCGACGGATGTTTAAAAAAGTGGGCTCGACTCCGTACGTCCTTGCGTGCCTGCTGGAGCCCTACGCAAGGACGGATAATGGCGTTGCATGTCTCCGCACTGACGCAGACGGAGAAGCATAAATCAGGCTTAACTTGCATAACCCGATTTAAATGCGGACGTTGGGGTAGCGTCAGGACGTATGGACTACGTCAAGACGCAATATGCGTTATTTCCGGTTCATTCTTTTCGGTTACCTTCTTGTATATTTCGCTGTCTCTGTACTTTCGGCCGTCAACAAATGACATAATGTTCATACTTTTCACCAGACCGATGAAGACAGAGGTTTCCTCGTCACTCCAAAAGTGTGGTACTGTGCTGCGACTCGCCATTTTGCTTCCAACTTGTTGTTTACTTCCGGTGTTCTGGCGCATACAAGACGTCTCGACCAAGATTCCTTGCGAACAGAGCATGCGCAGAACACACTCTTTGATGGGGATATCCCGATATGCGTTTACACGACCAAACATTCGGGTGAGAAAAGGGTTACCCCAGGTGTAGTAACCGGGTTTTTAAAGACCCGGTTATGAGCATATCCGGGTTTTTGGCGGTGTTTACATGGCCGTGCGGAACCGGGTTATTGTAAATATTCGGGTTTTAAAAGGGTTACTGGCTGCATGTAAACGCACTCAGTGTATCATTCATCCATTCACACACACAGTCGCACACTTATGATGATGAGCTACAATGTAGCCACAGCTGCCCTGGGACGCACTGACAGAGGCGCCCCACTATTTAATTCAGTCATTTGTTATTCTCCCAACCAATTACTAACCAAAACCTCGTGCTTTAAGCAAAACATTAAATGATTTTCAGCACACCAATCTTTACAGAAAACATAAAAACCCTAAAAAACTGCACATAAAATATATTAAAAAAACAATATTCATTTATCACTTAGAGCAGTGGTTCCCAAAATTTTCAGCCTGACCAACAGATGTTCCTTCTTATTTTTATGTTATTTAGAAATTTTCATTATATTTGGAAAGTTTTAATTTATATATAATATATAAAACACTTTTTAATTTTATATTTTACTTTATATGATTATGTGGCACACTTGACTTCCATATATAACGCATCGGCATCTGCCTCTTTTGTGGCTTTTTTTTTATATTGCTGCTACGTCTGTCACGTTAGCGGTGTTTTACCATCATTTCTACATCCATCACGTCCCAGAGAAGGTTAAACCAACATCAAACCCAACGTTTGGAGCTTGTAAACTCCACACACCTCTCGTGCAGCACCAGCTGTCTGATGCTGCAGTAGCGTCCATCTTCCTGGCTGGATGAGAGAATTTCTTCATCAGAGTCAATAATCTGCTTCATAATCAGAGTCAGTCATGACCAGAGAAAGTGGTCAGTCAACAAAGACCAGACCTGCCGGCAATTATACGTTTTATCTAATATTTGCGCTCTTCATGCTGCACGCATCTCCTCCTCTACCCGACCGGGAGCCTCTAGGCGGGAGGTGATTTTCAAATCTAAAAACTCCAAAACTTTGCTCAGCCTGAAGGTTCCACATCTCCACTATCTTCTGATGTAAAGTAGTAACTTCATGAGGGATCATATTTGTAGATGAGACTTGTTAAAGTCAGCAATGAGGCTTTGGCACTTATAACGAGTAAATCCCAACACTGACAACAACGTACTGAAACTAGAACCAACACGCATAAACAGACAGATCGGTCCCGCCTACTTACACTGTTGGTCTTTTTTAAATATGCAGGAATCGTTGCCTTTTTCACTTCATCCTGCATCCTAGCAGCACCCACTTTGGCGCCTCTGGAGTCGGTGTTTGTTTACGTCATGCTGCATTCAATGTAATTGGAAAAAGGAGCTTCAAGCGCTTAACCTCTGATTTTGTTTTCGTTCTGGCCTTAGTTGGGGGGGACGGATCGGGGTTGATCTGAATCTGGGGGGGGACAGATCCCCCCCGTCCCCCACCCTATCTACGCGCCTGCCCTAGCATGAATAACAATATCAGCACACTTCCTGTTAAAAAACGACACGTCTCTGCAGCAATTTAGACCAGTTCCAGGACACAGTCTAGGGCTGCTCAATTAATCGAATTTTAATCTCAATTACGATCAGAGTTTTGAACGATTATGAAAACAAAACAAGCCGATTATTTGCTCCTCCCACTTGCGCTGCCCTGAGTAGCAAATGAAGCGCTCCTCCCACAGTGTTGCCAACTTAGCGACTTTGACGCTATTTCCAACAGCTTCTCAGACCCCCTTCTTGACTTTTTCAATCTTAAAAGTACCTAGCCAACACCTCAGAAACATCTCTGGTAACCCTTAGCTACTTTCTGGATAACTGTCATTGACATTTCCTGCAGGTTAGCTAAACACTCCGCCTGCGCTCCGGACCGTTCTTCAGGACATTAGGAAAGGGAATGATGTAGTGATGTGTCGGTCGCTAAAGACAGCTCTCGGAGCCAGCTCCCTGTTGGATTAACCAGAGTGAGTGACACACACACCGCACCTGCGGGCTCCTGAGCTGCTAAACACGGCTAAATGTGCGCGTGCGGCGCGCTAAACACACGTGCAGCTTGCCCCTGATTGCTGTGAGACCGGGTTAGGGGGTGGGGGGGAGCAGCTGTGGTTGGGACAATTATTACATTAACTGATGGGCCTGTAAAATAAATAGTTTATAAATAAGGTAGAAATAAGTTCCTCACGCTGATAAATAATAACTAACCTCTCTGAGGACACAAGTGAGAGATTGAGTACATTGACACGACTAAATAAATGTTACGCAACATTTTGTGAACATCAATTTATGTTTATTTATTTAGCAGACGCTTTTATCCAAAGCGACTTACAATTTATAACCTCTAGGGCATGTTGTGATCTGTGGGGGAAACCGGAGTACCTGGAGGAAACCCACTTATGCATGGGGAGAACACGCAACTCCACGCAGAAAGGCTGCAGCCGAGTTTCGAACCTGCGACCTTCGTGCTGCGAGGCAACAGGGCTAACAACTGCGCCACCATGCAGCAATTTTTGTGCATATATTTGTTATAAATGTCACTGTATAATTCTTGCTGTCAGTATTTGCAAGATATTGGTATTTGGGTCTGCACTGGTTAGACTTAAATGAGTTAAACCAAGGTCTATAGCCCTTGGGTCATAAACGATGAGCTATAAGTATATTGGTCTTTTTATACTGGGAATCAGGAGTTATTTTAGAGATCATCTTGTTTCTTATTTATTTTTGTCCTGATTATACCCCGAGCAATTTTATGACTGAATAAAAACAAATAAAATCAACATAAATTGAAAAATCGTCTTAAATAATTGTGATTATTATTTTTGCCATAATCGTGCAGCCCTAACACAGTCTCACTGGTTACCAAGGCGACGGGCTCTGAGACACAATCAGAGACGAGAGACACAAGACATCGCATACCTTCTGAAGGTATCACATGTTCATGCTGTGACATGCCCTAAACAGATAACCGAGCAAAAGATGTTTACCAGTTACTTAATGAAGCTATGGAAATATTAATTTATCTTATTAAAATGACTTCTTTTTATGGAACTTACTTTATTTTTGCAATATCTGGAAAGTGTCAGAATGACAGAATCACTCACCCCTGATTGAGGTCATTCTCTGTGTTGTCCAGCCATAGGCGAACGGCCACCGCGTTGCCTTCTCTGCACTGGGTGAAGATGTCATCCATCTCAGCTGGAGGATTCTTCCTCTCCTTAGGTGCACCCCAGACCTGATGCAGAACTACACTCAGATGAAAACCCTAGAGGTTCAGGTGAGTTGTCGACAGCACCCGTCCCTCATCTGGGACTGAGTCAAAGACACTGCAGTCCTTCACAAGACTGGAAAAGAGGATGACATGACAGGGAAGTGTGTTAAAAATGTAAACACTGACAACAAAAACAGGATTCAACATCACTGTGCTAACGTCATAAATCACCCCTAATTTATTTCATAAAAACTCTAATTGTGGTATCATTTTAAGGGACAAAAAGGCTAATCAGACAACTAATTCATTTCAAACATGATTTACAGAAAATGAACCAGTTCTTGTTGCTCTACTGTCATAGCCTATGTCTGGTTTTTAGCTTTTAACACATTGATTCTGCCCAAAACTGTTCCCTGTATGAAAACTCCTTCAGCATATTATAAAACCGTCTCCAGGAAAGTAAGTTATAAATGTATTTATTGCATTTTTCTGCTTTAGTACATCTGTCATAGAGCCCACATGTGATTGCACTGCTGGGGCCCTCCCGGCTTAAACAAAAATGTATGTGACTCATCGCTATTTACGGATGTTCCCGATTAAAACACTACTGAGTTTTTGCTTCCTACAGCTATATTTACTGCATCTTCAATGGCTGCTTCGCTAACCAGCTAGCACACAAAAAAAAAAAAAAGCTAACGCTGAGTCGTTGTTAGTTCCGTTTCCTAGAACCACTCGCTAAGCGTTTACATTGCGTTAGTTAGAACAGAAACATCTCACCAAGCTCCGCATGTACGCAGCAAAGAACAGTTGATCAAGTCAGACGCAAGCAGGATTCTGCTAACAAGCTAACAATCTGACGCCGTGGACGTTGTGCGCTATCTTTTAATAAGACTCGTGATATCAAATTCTATATTTTAAAGTTTAAGTAGCTCTGAAAACGTTTCCGTATCGACAAACCTACCTGATATGTCCACTTTTTTTAGTTAACTTAGCTAGCAGAGAAGTTGGTTATTCAGGACGTAGTCGTCTCCGGTTGACTGAGGTAGCTCCACACCCTCTGTGCCCCCCCAGTATGTGCTTTACGTCTAGTGAGATGAGAGCGCGCCTCCTACAGGGAATATTAAGAACTGCAACAAGTCGAAAGCATTCGCCTCAGGTCATGCTTTCTAATTGTTTGATTTCCATAAACAAAACCTTGCAGAAACCTAAATAATTTCCCTATTGGTTCAATAAATAGTTTTTGAACATGTATTGTAAAAGTTGGGTAGAAAACTAAATGACTAACATAAAACAATATTTAAAAATTTACCTGACTTAATGTAAAAAACGTGAAAAACATATGAATATAACATTAATGCGGACATATAGCAGATAGACGGATAGAACAAGTAAAATGTTGATTATTTTCCAGGCAGGTTTTTAGGGACACCATATCCCAGAAATCCCAGTTTAAGATACGTCATCAACGCGCGCCTGTGAAGCTGTGTTTTGCTTCCTCGACGCACATGACACGAGCCAACGTGGTTTTCATTCCTACAAGATATTTCTGCTCCAGGAATGTAACATTAAATGTGTAATATGAAAATATATAATCGCTATAGTCATAATTATCCATTATAAAGTGTGATTTGGGTCCGTGAACGAGAAAACATGTTTAATCAAGACGAAGATTGGAATGACGAACAAGAGGCTCAAATCCTGAGTAAGACTGTTTTTAAAAACGCACAGAAGGCGAATAGTGACACCAATGCAAAGGTATTTGGATTTTATGAGTTTTCTTTCAACTTTTCCCTAGAAAATTATGATTTACAGCATCCCATTTTACCAGTTTTCATTTCAAACACTACTTAATCCGGTGTTACGTCGAATGTGTTCCCCCCTTGAGATCTGTTTCTTTTGTACCCAGCTGCATCTTTGAACCATTTTAATGTCAGTATTATTGTCATTAAGAGGAATTTATTATTATTTGATTGTTCTGTCTAAGGTTGTTGGAAAAAAGAGCCTTCTGCGAACCCTGGAAACACTGGGATCAGTACATGAGTGGAAAAGCAACAACCCTGAGCAGGACAGCGACAGCGGGACAGAAACGGCTCCATCACACAGCAAAAAGAGAAAGAAGGGAAGAAAAAAGAGAAAACATGTAGAGAAATCAGAGCAGCATCCAGATGGCGGTAAAACCTCAACAGAGGAGAAAACTGTAGCAAAAAAGAAGAAAGGAATCAATCCAGGTTAGTAATTCGGCAAATGTTGAAAAAAGAAGTAAATATTCACATAAATTATCACTATTGAAGTTTTTTAAGATGCGGCATGTTTGTTTTTGTCATTTTGTCTCTTCCATAAGGAGCTCCAAAAACAACGAGAACATCTGCAGATGAGATGCAAACAAAACCAGAACCTCCACCAGTAAACAAACCCGCGAGTACTGAGCAACTGAGCAGACAGCAGTGGAAAAACAAGATGAAGAACAAGAGACGATGTAAAAATAAATACAGCCAGAATAAACCAGCAGAGGATGTAAACAAGGCCGATAAACAAGAACCAAAAGAGGAAATCAAATCAGATTCACGCAGCTGCACAAACGTCAGTCAGACAATGGAGAAGAAGAAGAAAGAGAGTAAAGTACCGAAAAGAAAAAACACAGATGACGAGAGCGGCGTATTTACTCCAGCAATAAAAAAAACAACATGGCCGGCAGGGACAGACGTAAAAGGCTCTGCCGACGAATCTCAACTGAATGATCAGCAGCAGTTTGACACAAAAAGACCAAAATCCGAGCTGAACAGAGAGCAGAAGCTAAAACGGCAGAAGCTTCAGAAAATCCTCCACGGCCAGCAAACGGACCAAAAGAAGAGTCTGGTGGAGGAGGAGGAGGCGTCGCCGCCAGAGGAGGAACAAAGCAGCTTGGACTCCTTCAGGTCCCGCATGGAGCAGCGTCTGGAAGCAGCCCGCTTCCGTTACATTAATGAACGTTTGTACAGCACGACCAGCGGCGAGGCCAAGCGCATGTTCCAGCAGGACCCAAGGGCCTTCTGGGTCTACCACAAAGGTTACACGGCGCAGGTCCAGAGGTGGCCCGCCAACCCGGTGGACGCCATTATTGCTTACATTAAGAAAAAGTAAATCAGGTCTTCTGATTATCACTAGTTTTATTTATTTTTTAGTTTGTCTTGGCTAATAGATCCTTTAAACTTCCTGTGATAAATTTGGTTTTGAACATTAAATATTGCCATCCTGCTTAACTTTAGCTTTTATTCATCACAGGAAGTCAGAGCGTTCATCAGAAACAGACACAAGCGTGGCTTCACTAGTTGGGGTGCCGTTTGTAAAGTCAGTCATAACCTAATATCAATATTTTGGGTTATTTAGCCCAAGAAGAAAAACGGGAGTTCATTTTTTCACCACGTTATTCGTACGTTTATAAATGTTACCATTCCCAACTCAATATTTAGTTAGCAAGCTACATTTTTTATTTAGATTTTAACGCAAAAATGTTTTTTTTTTTTTTTTTTTTCAAACTTCATATTTAGGTCAAGCCTAAATATTTAGTCTGTAAAATAAATATTTGATTTGAAGCTAAATAATTATTTTGGGGATGAATCTAAATATTGACTTTGCAAACTAAATATTTAGCTCCCAAATAAATATTTTGCTGGGATTTACATATTTAGGAAAATTTATATTTAATAAGGAGCAAAATACTTTGTTTGTAAACTCAATATTTCACTCCAAACTAATTAAGTAATTATTTTGGGGGATGAATCTAAATATTGACTTTGCTAACTAAATATTTAGCTGGCATTTACATATTTATTTAGGAAAATTAATATTTAATAAGGAGCAAAATGCTTTGTTTGTAATCTCAATATTTAGCTCCAAACTAAAAATTCAATAATTATTTTGGAGATGAATCTAAATATTGACTTTGCAAACTAAATATTTAGCTCCCAAATAAATATTTAGCTGGGATTTACATATGTATTTAGGAAAATTAATATTTAATAAGGAGCAAAATGCTTTGTTTGTAATCTCAATATTTAGCTCCAAACTAAAAATTCAATAATTATTTTGGAGATGAATCTAAATATTGACTTTGCAAACTAAATATTTAGCTCCCAAATAAATATTTAGCTGGGATTTACATATGTATTTAGGAAAATTAATATTTAATAAGGAGCAAAATACTTTGTTTGTAAACTCAATATTTAGCTCCAAAACAAATATATTTTTTAGTGAATTAAATATTTATTTTACAAACTAAATATTTAGTTTGTAAAATAAACATTGAACTGTAAGTGAAAATTTTTGCTTGCCAACTAAATATTTAGTTGAGAACTTTAACATTTATAAATGTATTATTTTCTCTTATGAGAGGCTAAATAACCCAAAATATTTGTATTTCTTGTTTCTTTTTAAACACAGAAAAGAAACCTTTTCCTTTACCTTATTAGCTAACGCTTCGGTTACTTCCTGTAGCCATCAGAGCTGTGAAGATGTTGGCGGCGTCACTTTCTTTATTAAAATTTTGGTGTTAAATTTTAACTGTTTAGCTTAACAAAAGGCACCCCACACCATCCTGCATCATATGATGCGACTGATTTCATCTGGTCTGGTTCTGATTGCAGATTTGTTTATTGATCACTAGATAATCGCTAAACGCTCCGTCAGCTCTGGCTTTCCTCCAGGACACGTCCAAGCTGTCTGGGTGGGTTCTGGGTTTGGAATAATGAGACGATTCCACGTTTCTGTCTCAGATTCCTAACGCCATCCCATATCTCCACAGATCTTGCAGTTAAAATAAAAATTCTGAAGAAAATGTTGCTGGAGGCTTTCTGACGGGGAAGCAGCCGTGTGGGAATTTAATCAATTCTTCATTTTGCAGCTTGTTAGAGTCAGCACTTTGTGGAGGAGAAATCTGTCTCATGAAGGTAAAATCTGCTCTTCTTGTCTGATCTGCTGCAGACCTGTCTCTCTGGTGGTGGCCGACTTCGGCTGCGGTGACGGTAAAATTGCGCGGAGTGTGAAGAACAAAGTTCACAGCTTTGACCTGGCTGCTACCAGCGAGCTGGTCACCGTCTGCGACATGGCCAACGTGAGCGTCTCTCTGCACCGCTGTCATCGGAGTTGTTCCCTCTAATAAAACCTGACCCACCTGTGCAGGTGCCCCTTGCTGACGGCTCCGTGGACATAGCTGTGTTCTGCCTCTCGCTCATGGGGACCAACCTGGTGGATTTCTTAACGGAGGCCTGTCGGGTTTTAAAAACGGGGTAAAAGAAGTCAAACGGGAAGGTTTAGTTCCACATCTACCTTAAACGTTTAACTCATTTTGTCTGGGTTTTGCAGAGGGGTCCTTAAAATCGCAGAAGTGGCGAGCAGATTTGACAACGTGAGAGACTTCACCTCCACTCTAACACGGCTGGGATTCAAGCTGACGTCCAAGGTGAAGGATCTTGGTTCCAGTTTCAGACGCTGTCCGTCCGTCAGTTTCTGTCTTTATCTGGGTCACGGAGGGCAGCAGCCCCAGCAGGCAGGTCCAAACCCAGATCACCCTGGAAGAGGGCCGGGTGATATGGACCAAAACTTCTATCGATTTTTCTTATATATATATATATATGTATGTATGTGTAATTATATATATATATATATATATATATATATATATATATAATGTGTGTGTGTGTATGTAGCATCCCCCCACCCCCCAATGAAGGATGAGACTTTACTGATGAAGTTTTGGATTTAATGAGGATGACTCAAATTCACCGTAAGAGCTGGAGATGTGTACAAAAAAAAAACCCATGTGAATAGATCCACACTCTTACATCAATACAACTGTTACTAACAGTTTACAACATACACCATGAATTACAATTTCCTTAGCTTTATAAGATTAATCAATGCATTTGGATCTAACCATTTTATAACAAAAAATATTTAAAACATAAGTACATTAAAATAATAAATTTACCTTGTGCCTCTATCAAGGGGGCTGCTAATAGCAAAATCCATATCAGGTCTCCCAAAGCTGCTTTGGCCGTTTTATCGCTGTTAAGCTAGCTTGCATTAACTGTTAGAACAGGAAACTGACCCTTCAAAATAAAAGCATTTCATTCAAACAGGAAGTTGATTAAAACGGATTATAAATAAAGGCAAGTTGTGCCAAATTAAAATACAAGCAAAAGAAGATGTCATTTTTAGGGTTAGTTACAATATGTATATGTATATATATATATATGTGTGTGTATATATGTGTGTATATATATATATATATATATATATACACACACACACATATATATATACATATACACACGCACACACACATGGTGAAGGGAAGGTTAAATTGCAAGAGGGTAAAGGTCACAATTTGATTAAATGTCTGTTTTACCGTGGACGTCAGATACCGACGCTCTGGCACAGCACGTCGCCTCCCGACGCGCAGGGGCTCGTCACCTGCTGTCTTTTCCGAGGACTGCGTCTTGTCGGTCATTATCACGTGACAGCGACTAGTCGATGAGAGGCATAAAAAGTCACTACAGAGCGGTGAAGTCGACCAGGTGATACAACCCCTAATATACAACCTATGAAAACATCACGTTAAGCTAATGTCCACGCGTAACTACGCTCACATAGGCCATGTAGCTCAGATACGGGCTGGAATCTCGTCATATTTACTTCAGCAGATGGGGAAACGTTCATGATTGTTTCTGAGGTATTTTGGCCGCTGCAGGCGCCCAGGGAGGTGTCCAGGAGGAATCTGAGCAAACACCGACCACCCTGGAGTCTTTTCCTGTGGAGAACCACAGCCTGGGATTAGGAGGTGCTGATTCAGACACTGATAGTGAGATTATTTAATTTGACCAGTTTCTATACAACGCATTTGTCATCCTATTATTCCGTTTGAGAAGTCTTGGCTCACAGCCAGAGTTGGTGGCTGTGGAAAGCACAGATTAAATAAAAACTTTAAGTAGACGCTTTAACTTATTCTCATTGAGAGTTTGAGCCGGTAGCTACATGAGAATAATTCTCGTTTTGTCTTTATTTTGTTGTTTTAGGACACAGAAAACAGTCACTTCTACTCCTTCGAGTTTGTGAAGACAGAAAATGCTCCAAAGAACAGGAAGAAGTTGGAGCTGCAGCTGAAGCCGTGCGTGTACAAGAGAAGATGATGATGTCAGTGGGTTCGGGTCACATCGGTTCTGTTTTATTAACAACGACACGAAAAAGAGCCAAAGCAAACGTCTGGCTCCGCCTTTCTCTGCTTTGTTGTTTCATGCTGGGACGATTTTAGATCTTTTTAAGGCTCAACACCTTCAGCCGTGAGAGAAATATTACAAACTCTTCTTATAATCCAGTTTTTTTTTGCCCCTCTTTGCCCTAAAGTTGGAATTAAACTCTAAAGATGGGACATTTTTTGTAAGTGTTTTTCTATTATTATTGTACTAAAAATGATCCAGAACAGAAACATCAGAGTTTTTAAATTTCCTTATTGTTCCTAAAAAAAAAGATTTTGATTTTAAAGGGACTTTACGGAGTTTTGAATTTTTATGCTCGCGATTGCCCCCTCTGGCCAAAAGCATAACGGCAGCTTCAATAGTAGGCTCGTGCACGAGGCGCGCATGCTGTACGTGCACACTCCTTAACTAAAATAACAGCTGAGACAGTCCCGTGTGTGTGTGTGTGTGTGTGTGTGTGTGTGTGTGTGTGTGGCCCGGAGGACAGAGGACAGGAGAACGTGCAGCTAATTAATTAAATAACTTGGTTCTGTACCTTTCTCTTCAGCACAGCCGACAAAGGTTTATGATGGGTCAGTCCTCCTGCATGCTCAGATCATTCCCTTCCCTTGCTTGAAAAATTGTTCCAAAATGAAAGTTGAACCCACATCTTTTTTATCTGTGAATTCAATGCCGTTCGGCGAGTCTCAAATAAAAATTTGGGCATCTTACTGTAAAAAAATATACCATTAATGTAAAAAAGAAACTAAATGAACTATGTTCACATCCAGAATCAAACCCAGGTCTTCTGCACAAGAGTCTGACGTCTTACTAGGTAAGCTAAAGCACCAGTGACATCTTTAGTATCTGTAACATTTATATCCTTGATGACAGCTGAAACAACATTCAAAGAACGGTTCGGAGTGAAAATGGCTATTTTGTTGCTAATTTGCTGGAAATATCTAGAAGAAAGTTCTACAGAAAGTAGCTAAGGGTCCTCAGAAATGTAGCTAGCTTTGTCACTAGGCGTTAGGAACAGCGACAAAGTGGCACTGCCTCTCTCTCTGCTGCTAAAGCTACGGATAGCAAACGCTACGGGCGATGCCTGAGTGTGAACGCGCATGAAGCAGCCTGCTCGACCCGAGCGTCTCTCTTTTTCTGTGATTTTACAGAAAAACAGGCAATCACAGTAAAAATGCCAGGGCTCATTCTACAGGACCAGGACATTGCAGGAGAATGTATGAAGAAGACATTTATTATTTCTATACATGTTTTGGCTGTCACACTTTCACAATGCCCCTTTTAAGTGTTTGATCCTGTACGTGTGATTTGACGTCCACGTTCTGGTTGGATATCAACTAAATGAATTATCCAAATGGGTTAGCATTTTAATCGCCGTAGAGGAGTCACTTCAGTATTTTTTCATTACAAAAATGTACATTTTATTAAGATTTTTGAATTTAGGACCATATTTGAACAGGAAGTGATGACAGTGAGAAGACTCATAAGAAAGTTTGACACATTTTAGGCATCGAGAACCGAGTATCGATTGGAACCGGTTCCAACAGTTCATTTTTCCCTTGAATCGCTCAACGTATTTTATTTCGACTCCTAGAATGCCGACGGAAGAGGAATCCGCGGCCGATCTCCGTGAAAAATAAACGTGATCTGCAAATTGTGATCAACGCTTTTCAGAGCTGATCACACCAGCTGTCTGTGTGCAGCACGAGTCCCCCCTCCCCCCACCCGGATATAAACAAACGCGTCTGCCGAACTTTTACGCCGTAATGTAAACGTTAACTCCTGCAGCGTAGAGGAAACGTGTTAAATACGTCAACACGGTGGATTTAATAGAAGCTTAAAGAACAAACTCTGGACGGTGTGAGGTGAGTTTGTCTCACTGCAGAAATAAAAACACACGGAGCGTCAGAAGAGTTTTAATGTTTAAAATCTGTTAAGATTGTTACTGACAGCAGCTACATTTAAGTTCCTGTTGTGACTGAATGCTGCTGCAGCATGGACGTGTAGTTCTCAGTCATCCTGGACATGATCATCCTGAGAGTTTTAGCTGGAAACAGCTGCACGTTTCTGGATATGTTGGAGACATTTAGTCTCTCATCCCAGAGGCTGCTTCCAGACTTTGGTTGTGGTCAGAAACAAACACACTGGTTGTGCTGCAAGTCTTTCTTTTTCTCCCCAAAACATGTTTCTGTCTAAATGAAGGTGACGTTGTTGTTCATAGAATTAAAATTCATGTTGAAGTTAAGATTATTTCATCCAGGAGGACCTGTGGTTAGCTGGCTCGTGTAAAACATGTCATGTCTTGAAAGAACCGGAATCGGGAATCGATAGGAACCGGAATCGAAACGAGGAATTGGAATCATTCAAAATCAAACGATGCCCAACCCTAGTATACGTGCATAAAATGATGCAAAATTCAAGTAAGGCTACAAGTGCAAACTCAGTACAGTTTTATCTCATTTGCTACATTTTCTAAGCTGCTGCTGTTTCAGTACGTCTTCATGGTGCACATTAAGCCGTTTACAGCTAAATACACACATTCGATCCTTTGCACGTGTTACACCGTGCTCTTGACATCAACGACTATGGAGAAGCAGGTCAGCGGAGCGTACTTCTCGCTGTCCTCCGATCCCGGCTTCCTCACCCCAGGAGAACCGGATTCCTGCATCAGACTGGTCAGCGCCGACACAGACTCTCGCTGCTGAAACATCAAACAGAAATCAGAAACGTTCTCTGATCTTCAAACGCAGAAGCCTGATAAATGATTTAAATTACCTTTTGGGGTGTTTTCTTCTTTCTTTTGCTGCTGGAAAACAAACCCAGGATTATTGATTTGTCTGTTGCCACTAGGTGGCGCTGTAACACAGCTGTGCGAACATGATGAAGCCCAAAAGGGACGTTGACGTGAATGCTCTGCATGCAACAGGAACATCAATGATCTCTTTGTGCATCATAACCTCAGTGACATCATCACTGTTACAGGCTGCAGGGTCAGGGGCATTCGGGGTCGTCTTGTTTACGGGGTGGACGACCCGAAATGGACCGTCCCACTAAAGCAGGCATGTTTAAAGTGTGGCCCGGGGGCCGTTTGTGGCCCTCAGAGTGATACTGCCCTGTTGTTTCTCTAGCAGATTATTGATGCAGGTCAAGGCGTATCATTTTTATGTTCGGATGTGTACTAAAATGAGGCCTAGCTTTGAGCAGCACAAATAAAAGTCTCTTCACAAATTGCATTTGTAGGTTTTTTTAATAAAAAGTCTAGTTTTTGTGGCCCGTGACGGCTTTTACTTCAAGGTGTGGAACACTGAAAAAACATTTAAGGATTGTTTCTCGTTTTAATCAGTCACTGCAGCATGAGCATGAAAATAGTCTCCTACACCCATCTCCTGCATTCTGATAGAAAACAGCCAGACGCTGAGACTCGTGGATTAGAAAAGCCCGGCAGATCTATGTCACACTGTCACTTAAAGAGCAAGTCACCCCCAAACCAGCTTTCTTTTCTTGATAAACTGTATAAATCCGTGTCTAATCGTGCTGCAGACACGTGTAGTTAGTAGTTTTGCACTTTAGTGCATTTTTGTTAAAATTTAAATTTTCTGCCTAAAACTCAGTGTTGTGCCATTGTCAGGTAAAAACTCTGCACTGCAGTTGAATTTAAATCTGCCATCGCCATTGGCTAAGAGGTACCCTAGAACGTTAGCTGGTACCATATGATGTCACAATGTTGTTGTGAGCCTGTGCGTGCGTGTGTGTGTGCGTGCGTGTGTGTGCACGTGTTAGCGGCTCCGCCCTCACGGTCTGCCAGGCAACAGCATTTGTTGCATTTTTCAAACAGGAAGTGGGAGAGAAGTAGGGTTGTCACGGTGTGAAAGTGTACCCTCACGGTTATTGTGACCAAAATTATCACAGTTTTCGGTATTATCGCGGTATTTTTTTAAACGTGTTACACTTTCAGACAACTAAATAAACCCTGTATATCAGGAAAATATTGTCCTCAGTTTGTGTCTAAATTTTGCCTAAAATGTGTTATTTTGTAATTATGTTGTTTATTTGTTTACATTTTTCCCCTTTAGTCTTTAAAATACCAATATTTGCCCATAACTTCTTATGTTTTGTCTGTTTGATGTCATAATTTTAAAAGTATTTGATCAGATGATACTCAGTACTCAAGTAGCCTTCTAATCAGGTACTTTTTTACCCTTACTTGAGTAATAAACCCTATATCAGGTAAATATTGTCCTCGGTTTGTGTCCTTCCAGTGATCTTTGCAGATGTGGGAAAATGTCATCAGGCAGTAATCATTGTTAAATTCATAATTATTCTCGGAGAGAGACCAACTCTTATCGGCCCCTGGGAGCCCCGTAATGCATAGCGTCATTTCAACATGGCGGTGTCCGCGACACGGTTTATATGCAGGTAGCGACGCTGCGGCTGCTTTATATAGCGACTCGTTGCATTCTCCCTCAACCCAAATCCTCGGATCACGCATTTTCAGCTAAAGCGCTAACGTTAGCTTGCCTTGCGTTGACTGTAGAGTTGTGGGTGACGGTCACGCAGATGTGTCATGAGATTTGAAGCGTTGCTGCCTTTCACAGACACTTTTTCTGCACGTGCTGCAAACAGGATAGCCGTCTTCTATCAACTGTCCCTCGGCATTCTTCAAATATCCAAAAAATGCCCGTACTTCCCACTTTGTCTTCTTTGAGGGACAATAAATGTCCCGAGCGCTGCCGTCTCCTCCGTTGGCCATTATTTCAGCTTTAGCTTCAAGAAAGTTTTGGTTGTAAACAACAAAGTGCGCATGTGCCGCCGGCAACTTCAGCAGATGATACAGTGGCTGGTAAGGGTCACCGCGCCTACACCGCAGCCACGGTAATCCACTGAGATAATTTTTTTTTAAAAAGACGATTATTATTGTCAACTTTTTTACCGGGGTTTACCGCTACACCGGTTACCGTGACAACCCTAGAGAGAAGTAATACTCTAGTAGGGGGTGACTCGCTCTTTAACATTCATAGACTCACAACGAGCATTGGTGTTGTTGGTTTAGCGTCCAGGAAACCGCAGAGAACGTCTCAGCTAGTAGAAGCTAACGTTAGCATTAGCAACGCCACCACACAGCAGAACTCCTTCAGGCACGTGTTTTTTTGTGCAGATAAAACATCAACATTGCAGAACAAACGGAGTCAGTGATAGATTCGTGTTGCTGCTGGACAATCCGAGGCGAGATGTCCAAATATCAGGAAATAGGAGTTCAAAACTGTCGTCTGAAGCTCAGCTGTGATCTGGCTCACTTCTATTCCCTGAAAATGGTGCACCAGTGTTTTTTTTTCCCCAGCTGAAAACTTACAAGGCATTCATTTCTACTAGAGATCACTGCAAATGTCATCATTAAATGAGTGTTCCACCCCTTTAAAGATTTTGGCCCTCATCTTGGAAAGTTAGGACAGTTTCATCATCATAACTTTCCAGAATCAGCTCGTTCCTCCCGAGTGTCGCGACAATGCTAAATAAGATAACGAGCAAACTATCGTGACTCTATAAGAAAAAAATAAATAAAACAGAACCTCAAAGATCAGAAGACAAAGAATAAATCTGTTTATCTCAGTGAGGATCAACCTCTACCTGTCTTGCTGCGGTGGCACAGGCACCTGTCTGCTGCAGCCACAGCCTTCCTGTTTGTGAATATCGACACTGAGGTGGTTGGTGAGTCGGGTTACCGACCCACGCATCCTGTTTTGTCTCGTACCGTACTGCACCAGCTGCGCTGCCCTCGTTTGCACGCAAGAACATCACCTGCGACACCCGTGGGACTCACCAGCACACGCACAGGATGACGACAAGGACGAGGAGGACGGCTGAGGCAGAGGAGACGCAGACGATGGCAACCAGAACTGCAACACATCCAGAAGATTAGACCCCAGCACCGACGGCATCAGGCGGGAGGGTAAACAGCTAAAAGAACTTACAAAGCTGCTCGTCCACGCTCGTTAGCTCCACCTGGACGCTGACGGAGGCTCTGTGGTGGTAAAACGACGCCGTACAGGTGTAGAGGCCTTTGATCTGACCCAAGAGATCCGACTGGAGGAGCATCACCGCTCCGTCCAGCTGGACCGCTGAACCATCGCTCCTAGAACACACGTGAGCGTTTCGGTTCAGCTATTTGGGGAAACTCGTGGAATCACTGAGACGTTATTAAAACATCTAAAATAAACCACCAGAGACGGTTTTATGATCCAGAACCCAGGACGCCTCGCTCATGGTAGCAGAGACAGAAATAAACCTTTATAAAATATCCAAACTATCCCTTTAATCATCATTCAGAGCAACCTAAAGTGGAACGTTTACATTTAAATGCTGGTTTCCCACGGTAACCCTCTCCTGGTTTGCTCAGTTACATCAGATTGATCATTTTTTAAGCTTTAGGGCATCTGAAATAGTTATTAAACAGTTATTAGGGGCCTGAAATGGTTCATAAACGATGAAATTGTGTCTTTATTTGTCGAAACACCACCTTCGACAGTCCAGGTTGAACTCTGGCACGTTTCCTTCGACCCGGAGCAGAATCTTTGGGTTGTGTTGGTTCTGCTGGACCGATACTCTGTAAGTGTTGGTCTGATGACCGTAGCGGCTCTGCAGAGGAGTCGTGCGGTTCAGGACTCTCACGGAGGAGATATCTGCAGAAACACGGTTCAACATCCAGGTCTCATCCATGTTCTTACGACTGTTGTCCCGGTGTCACTCACAGTATTTGGGGATTTGGACGGTCCTCTTCTCCGTGACCCCCTCGCCTAACCGGTGGACGCAGGTAAGGTCCCGGCCCTCGAGAGCAGCCAGAGGAAACCGATACGTCAGCCTGGCGTTCGTCACATGCCCTTCGCTCTGTGAGAGCAGGGATGTTTCACCGCTGGCGTTTTCAGGAAGGACCCACGCCAGGTTTGTCCCCGCACCCTCCTCTTCGAGGTCACACACCGCCAGCCAGAGAGGGGAGTCCTGCTGTCTCGCCACGGCCACGCTGAGCTGAGGGGGTTCTGACGGAAAAACAGAACAGGAAGGAGGTGAGCTGTTGTTTTAGGCGTCACAAGAAGGCTTCTAAGGAAGAGTTAACGCACTGTGCACGGGGATGTTTATTGTTCTTTCCTCTGGAGTCTCCAGGCTCGGGTGTCTCACCGTGCACGTCAAATTCTGTCCGGCGTAAAGCGAGGACAGGAAATGCACCGAGCTCCGGGTCGATACCAAACCCTCGGACAGGACTTCGGTTTCTGTCATGGCACCGATGTTGTTGTTTCCAAAGTGCCAGCTGATCTCTGCAGCGGAGCGGACGCCGACCGCAGAGCAGAGCGCCATCTTGTACTTGTGACCACCTCTCCACACGGTGTCCACCCTGAGGGTGACGTTCGGGCGAGCTGCAGGGACAGCAGGAAGTAACATAAACAGATGTCCACATATGTCCTCCGTTAGGATGAATATTGACTGATTTGTAACACAAACCACAAGGAGGGAGCGTCCTGCTTCTTTTCTGTGGTTCCACAAGCGCGGGGTGATTTATCACACACAGTGCTGTGAGTTCCTGAGGTGAGCAGGCAGGGAGGAGCACCACTCCTCTGATGGAGTGGCTTCCATTAGAAGAAGTGGAGTTGAACAGGAAGTCTGCAGAAATCCCCTCTGGTAGCAACCAGGACACGCTGGCTGCAGGAACAGCACCTGACGCCAGGCACTCCATCACCCAGCGTCCACCTTCCACTTCATCATGGACTCTGATCGCGGGAGCGGCTGGGAGGAAAAGAGCAGAACTTCAAGGAGTTGTAGGAAGTATTCGATGTGATTGTCAAAAGTCTCACGCACCCATCTGTGGAGCTCGAGGGAGGACGGTGGCGTTGAACCTCAGCGTTGTTTTAAGGTGACGATAGGAGAAATCACATTCATACAAACCCCGGTGCTGCTGGTTTACCTGAAACACCAGGCTTCTGTCAACCAGCTGCACCTCCTCAGGCAAGGTTCCATTTTCTCTACAGGACACACACACACACACACTTATTTCGTGACATTTATCTAATTACACATAAATGTTCCCTTAAGATCTTCTACTTTTGAGTTATGTTCCCCATGATCACCCCGGCGACTCGTGTAAACTATAAAAACTCTGAATAAGTGTCTAAATCTGGTTCCTGCCGTCTCTCACCTGCGGCTTTGTGCCACCAAATGCTTCACCACATCCTCCGCAGGATGTGTAGGCTGTTTCAGTCAACAACCTCTAGCATTATTAGTTGCGATGTGAAAACGAGCAAAATAAACCCAGATTTGGCATTTAGGGGACTTTGGAATGAAGCAATGCAGCGAATCAGGGACAGAAAAGTCCTGCAACAGCGCATGAATGAATGCAGCCCTGAGCAACTAGGAGTCTTAAAAAACAGGAAAGAGTGAGAAGCATGTCAGCCAATAACTTCCCGATTTTAGGTTCCCATTATTCATCTCATTGGTGTGATGTCATAAAGCACACAAGCTGCATGTGTTTGACTGATGTGGAGGACTACTCCCGCATAAATAAATCAATTCATTTACAAACAAAAATAAATAAATGAAGGATTAATACATCTGTATTGATCTCCAGTATATTGATTTTATATTTAAAGAGCAAGTCACCCCCAAATCAACTTTTTTGCTGATAAACTAAATAAACGAGTGTCTAATGGTGCTGCAGACACGTGTAGTCAATCATTTGGCACTTCAGTGCACTTAGTTCAAATTTAAATATTCTGCCTAAAACTGGCAGTGTTGCGCCGTTGTCAGGTAAAAACTATGCACTGTATTTGAATTTAAATCTGCCACCGCTATTGGCTAAGGGGTGTGCTATGATGTAAACTGGTACATTATGATGTCACAATGCTGTCGTGAACCTGAGTGTGTATTTGTTAGCGGCTCCGCCCTCTCGGTCTGCCAGGCAACGGCATTTGTTGCATTTTTCAAACATGAAGGAGGAGTGGAGTTAGACTCTGGTAGGGGTGACTTGCTCTTGAATTATTAATTTCCTCAACTGTTTGCATTTTTTATTTATTGATTAGCTGATTTTGTCATTTACATATTTATTTATTTATTGTGGGTTTTACTCTCATTTATTAAATTTTTATTGCCTTTGTTTATTTACATTTTTTACTTATTTATCTATTTATTTATAAAATCATTTATTTATTTTATTTATTGCCTTTTATTTACTTACATTTTTATATGATTTTTTAATGTATTTGTTTTTATCCATTTATTGCTTTCATTCACTTCCTCCTGGATTTGCTGTATATTCTGACAACAGGACGCCTCCATCGGCTGGGGTCTTGGCTGTAGCATGCTAAGCTAATGAAATGCTAGCTCGTCATCACCCAACATTTCTTACTTTCTGCAGGTAACTTGGTAACGCGGCACATTTCCTCTGACCTGCAGGCTGATAACTCTCCTCTCTCCTTCCACCAGCTCTACAGACTCACTTTCAGTTTCTCCAAATAAGTCTGCAGATTAAAAAGAAACAAGTCTGTTCCTGTTTTTCTGCACAAGCACCAGAGATTTTGTCCAAATCTGAGACATACTCACAAAAAGTGGGCAGTGCTATGACTCGTGACTCCGCGTAATGAAATTTGGGGTGTTTGAACAAACAGGCGACGCTGCGGCCTTCGTATTCTGCAGCCGGGAGACGGATGGAGAGCCTTTGTGTGTTTGAGTCTGACTCCTTCTCCCTCTGCAGCTCTTCAGTCACGTTCAAAGCCAAAGAGATGTCGGTGTCGGGTCTTCCTCCGGATGAAATGCATGAGACCACCCAGAAATCGTTTCCTGCTTTCTCTAGCATCTCTGCTGTAGCGTTCACAACTGGCCTCGCTGCAGCAGGAAGAAAGGCGAGATGAGTCATTGTTCTACAAGCTGCTCATGTTTTATCCAGTTAATTAAAAAGTCAGATAGCAAGAGGATTCTTTTTTTTAAACTCAGGATAGGAAGATGGGACCAGATGAGCTGAATGTTAGCTAAACATGAGCCAAAAAGGGGGCTCCTGCCTGTGCTTTGGAGGGCCGACTTATAGCTCATCACCTGTCCCATCTGCTGAGTGAGCTGCAGCTGAGAGCAGATGTCTGGACCAGCTGCTGTCCGACCAGAGCGGGGAGAACCACAGGTCCTAATCCAGGGAGATCAGAGTCTATTATCAAATATAGAAAAGTAGCTCCGTGCAACAGCCAGACATCCCTAATGAGTAGAGAAGTTGAGCAAACACTTGCTAATAGCTTAGGAGTTGTCCGTCTGTTAACTCCCTAAATGAAGTGATTTAGCCGCAGCAGTCAGACGACGTCTCTAAACGCTCACAAATGTGGAACTCTTAAAAACAAAATGTTGTAAAAGATTAAATCACATTAGATCATTCGGAATGTGAGGCAGCTACAGAGTAACCAGCGCCCTCTAGGGGTGCTGACGGATAAAAACACCTATTATTACTTGTTCTGTAATCCCAGTGAGTGGTGAGCCTGATTGGATTTATTTTTCTGCTGAGGTTCGCCGAAGGAAGAGCAAAATCAGCTGTTTATCAGGTCAAACTTAAGTGAGACAGAAAGAGCCCACAGCTAGCTTCAAAGACCTGGACATCTGTTAAAGATCCATTTGCACCGATTCTGGTTTCGATCGCAGATACAGATTTCTGATCACCAAACAGCTCTGACCTGCTGACACCGATTCAGTTTCATTCTATTTAAAGGTTTAGTTCCAAGAAAAACACTTTTTATGATTATTTCTGATTATAAATCACTTTGAGTTTTTCATGCAGGCTGAACATGAAAATAGTCTCCTACACCTATCTCCTGCATTAGCTTCTGATAGAAAACAGATGGTGAAACTCGAGGATTAGAAAATCCTGACAGAGCTACGTCACACTGTCACTGAACATCCATGGACTCACCCATCTTGACTCACGACGAGGAAGGCTGCTGTTGGTTTAGCATCCAGGAAGCAGCAGAGAATGCCTTGGCTAGTAGAAGCTAACTGTTAGCATTTGCTACTCCACCACACAACAGAACTCCTCCAGGCTTGAGTTATTTGTAGAGATAAAACATCAACGTTGCAGAGCAAACAGTCAGTGGTAGAGTTGTATAAAATGATGCAAAATTCAAGTAAGGCTACAAGTGCAAATATCAGGACTACAAATCCTGCTGGGTTCAGCTCAATTTGTAGTGACTCACTTCTAGTTCCTGAAACAGCTGCGCCGGAGCTTTTGTCCCTAGAGTCTGACTTATAAGGCAGTGATTTCTAAGAGGCCACTGCAAATGTACAGATTAAACGAATGAACCACACCTTTAACAGAAAACTAAATCATTTTAATTTCTGATTAACTTTAAAGTTACAATTCTGAAGAAAATCTAAGATCTTTTACTGCTAGCTTGAGTTAGCACTTAGCGATGATGAGTTACAACGAGGAAATATGGGGGTTTCATCGTTGATCTTCCTCATTACCAGCCCGCCCTTTTCTGTTGTTAGCCTAATTCCACAACTTCCCTCCAATCTATCGATATAAAACAAACATGTTCTGTTTATTAACAGGTTATCTTTTGTATTTTTTAAGCACCACTCAGAATTGATCATCACCTGATTTTTAGGTTTCAATTCCTGTTGGACTCATATTTGTTCCAGCATGATAACCACAGCTGTATTATTATCGCTCAAAATAAGAATTTTCTTATTTCGTGACAGAATTTGGACACATCACATTTTTATTTGCCCTGCTTTAATTTCTTCTAACTTTTCAGGCTAATTTTAGCCGCTGAGCTACAAAAAAACAAAGTTTAGTTTCAAAAAGGAAGCTAATAGATGCTGAGATGAGTCACTAATGTTTGATGTATATAAAAGCCAAGCATGAAGTCACAAAAACTCACATTTTAGTTAGAAATGACCGACTCGACAAGCCGACGTGTGGCTCTTTGCACATTCGTTAGCATCATTAGCAAAAGATTGTCATTCAACAATGAACATTTTTGCTTCATTTTGATCCCATTTAAACTTTTCATAATAAGCTTTGGCTCCATCTGAGCTGCAAAAGCTTAAAGGGACTTTACGGAGTTTTGAATTTTTATGCTCGCGATTGCCCCCTCAGGCCAAAAGTGTAATGGCAGCTTCAATAGTAGGCTCGTGCACGAGGCACGTATTCTGTACGTGCACACTCCTTAACGAAAATAACAGCTGAGACAGTCCCGTGTGTGTGTGTGTGTGTGTGTCCCGGAGGACAGAGGACAGGAGAACGTGCAGCTAATTAATTAAATAATTTGGTTCTGTACCTTTCTCTTCAGCACAGCCGACAAAGGTTTATGATGGGTCAGTCCTCCTGCATGCTCAGATCATTCCCTTCCCTTGCTTGAAAAATTGTTCCAAAATGAAAGTTGAACCCACATCTTTTTTATCTGTGAATTCAATGCCGGTCAGTGAGTCTCAAATAAAAATTTGGGCATCTTATTGTAAAAAAAAATATACCATTAATGTAAAAAAAAACTCTAAATAAACTATGTTCACACCCAGAATCAAATCACGGAAATCAAGTTCAGTGATGCAAACATGACCAGCGAACAAAAAAAGAAATATGAACTCAAATCAGGTAAAGATTTCATGGCGTTCTGGGTCGCTCCTGTTTGCTGGCTTCAGTTTTTGAAACAACTATTGAGCGACTTTCCTGCTGGTGTCTAATTAAAAATGTCGGTGATGCTGCATTAGCTCGCTGCAGATTCAGCAACCTCACAAACTCAGAGTGTAAACAGGAGCCGTTTTTACAAAACAATGCTGCCAATTTGTCGCCGCGGCATCAAGGAGCCTCAGGTCGTTAATAAGTGGTCAGACGTGTCCTTTTCGCAAAAGATTACGTGATGGCGGCATAAAGGGGGTGTTGGGCCGGTCTCTGTGCTGCCGCAGACTTCCGTTTATCTTGGACGTTATTACCGAAACCGAAACAATCAGCGCTGTATTACTGCAATATTACTACCAAGTGAGGTGGAACGAATGCCACAAAAGTTGCGCATCACCGTGCCGCCATGGCACGTTTACAAGACACATGGCTGAGGTAATATTACGCTGATGTGCCGGCACGGTGAGTCTTGTAAAAAAAAAAGTCGCTAACTACGTCCCTCTGCTGTGATTTTCAAAAGGAGAAAATCCGACAACATTCCTTCCAACATGATGAAGACATTCGTACATATTGCTCCTTTAAAGCTGGAAGAGTTCTCACCAGTCCAACAGGTGTGTGTGTGTGTGAGCACACAGCCTGAGTAGTCCTGCACTTTCCTGCATTCTGATTTATTTTAGCCACCAGAGTCGTACGCTGCTGCACCACCACATCTTTTTATAGAACCGGTGATGCTGCTTTGTGACTACGGCTGCAGTCCCACATGAATCTGCTGCACTGTGTAATGTGATTTATGGTCTGCCAGTGCGCATGTGGAACAGAGTGAGAAGGAACAGCAGGAGAAAGTTAAAGTGTTGAAAGATGCTGAGTCACAATGCCTGAATGCAAACCTTTCACTGGTGATGCAATAGTTCTAGGCAACAAAGACACAAACACAACGCTGGTAGCTTGAAAATGAAACTTACTGAACGTCTCCACCCTCGCTGCGGTGAGCCTGGGGGTTGGGAGGGTTGGGTGTTGGACCACACAGGTCACATGCTCCTGGTCCTGCAGGTGGGTGGGGAAGCGGAGGACGCTGCTCAGTGTGGAGGTGCCGTTGGAGTGAAGCGTTTTCCTCGACTTAACGGTGAAGAAGTCATCTGAGGGAGGACGGCCGCCGACCAGCCAGCTGATGCGAGGGTCAGGCTTGCCTCCAACAGCAGAGCAGGACACAGACTGGTAGTGAGTGTCGCTGATGGTCTCTGCGTTCACCGTTACCTGTACGTCCGGCTGAACTGGGAAGAAATGACCAAGGTGCGTCTGCTGAAGGTATTGCTTCTGATGTGGTTATCTCAACAACACATTTGCTTGATCGACTTACCTATAACAATAACAAACATGAAATCAAAAAAACTCTCGTCTTCTTCCTCAAACTCACAGTGGTACATTCCCTCCGCTTCCACGCTGGACACGTTCATGCTGACAGTGAAGTCGGTAGGAGAGGCCGGCACTGAGAGGTCGGAGCGGCTGTAGGGTCTTCCGTGACTAAACCCAGCCAGTCGCTTGATGACACCCTTAGAAATCTGACGTTTCCAATGAGCACTCTTGATCTGATTCTCACCCAGATACCTACAGCCGAGGTGCACTTCCTCCCCTAGGGCCGCCGTGATGTTGCCGCAGATCGCCAGAGTCGGCCCGGCACCTGAACCTGTGACGCAGACCAGCAGCACGACTAGTAATAAGAAAAGGTCAAAAGTTCATCTGATCAGTATTAAAACACCCGTTTCATACACCAGAAACAAAGGTCACCGTTCTGTTGTGATTAGGTGGTTTCCAGTAACTCATCAATGATAGCTTCTTCTAGAGAACCCCCCCCCCCCCCCCCCCCAAGGCGCTTTACAACACAATCACTCATTCACCCCTTCACACACACATCCACACGCTGGTGGTGATGAGCTACACCAAAACCGCAGCTGCCTTGGGTCGCACCGACAGAGGCACCACCGGTCCCTCCGACCACCACCAGCAGCCAAGGCGGGTTTAGTGTCTTGCCCAAGGACACAACAGCAGAATTGCTGGGAGCCAGGATCGATCCTACAACCCTCCCACTGCTGGACAACCTGCTCTACCTCCTGAGCTACTGCTGCTCCAATAAGTAAATATTCATCAAATATTGATGAATGTTTTGCTTCATAACAAGTTTTCTGTTGGTAAAATACAAACATCTGAAAATTAAAACAACATTTCTGAACAATAAACCTTAAAATCATAAACTTGTTTGGTTCTCATTTCATTTCATTTATTTATAAAGCCCCTTCTGCGACCAATGCAGACGCCCAAGCTGCTGAACACAACTAGGGATGCACAGATGGATCGGCATTTGATCCCAATCGGCCGATAGCGCCCCTATCGGTTTTGATCGGAGTTTTCAAAATAGATCAAAGCAGACGGATCAGGTAGGGTTGTCACGGTAACTGGTTTAGCGGTAAACCCCGGTAAAAAAAAAAAGTTGACAATAATAATAACCGTCTTGTTTTAAAAAAAAACTATATTATCTCGGTGGATTACCGTGGCTGCGGTGTAGGCGCGGTGACCCTTACCAGCCACCGTATCAGCTGCTGAAGTTGCCGGCGGCACATGTGCACTTTGTTGTTTACAACCAAAACTTTCTTGAAGCTAAAGCAGAAATAATGGCCAAAGGAGGAGACGACAGCGCTCAGGAGGGCATTTATTATCCCTCAAAGAAGACAAAGTAGGAAGTATGGGCATATTTTAGATATTTGAAGAATGCCGAGGGACAGTTGATAGAAGACGGCTATCCTGTTTGCAGCACGTGCAGAAAAAGTGTCTGTGAAAGGCAGCAACGCTTCTAATCTCATGATACATCTGCGTGACCGTCACCCACAACTCTACAGTCAACGCAAAGCAAGCTAACGTTAGCGTTTCAGCTAAAATGCGTGATCCGAGGATTTGGGTTGAGGGAGAATGCAACGAGTCGCTATATAAAGCAGCCGCAGCGTCGCTACCTGCATATAAACCGTGTCGCGGACACCACCATGTTGAAATGACGCTATGCATTACGGGGCTCCCAGGGGCAGATAAGAGTTGGTCTCTCTCAGAGAATAATTATGAATTTAACAACGATTACTGCCTGATGACATTTTCCCACATCTGCAAAGCTCACTGGAAGGACACAAACCGAGGACGATATTTTCCTGATATAGGGTTTATTACTCAAGTAAGGGTAAAAAAAGTATCTGATTAGAAGGCTACTGGAGTACTGAGTATCATCTGGTCTAATATTTTTAAAATGATGACATCAAACAGACAAAAAAATAAGAAGTTATGGGCAAATATTGGTATTTTAAAGACTAAAGGGGAAAAATGTAAACAAATAAACAACATAATTACAAAATAACACATTTTAGGCTAAATTTAGACACAAACTGAGGACAATATTTCCTGACATACAGGGTTTATTTAGTTGTGTGAAAATGTAGCACGTTTAAAAAAATACCGCGATAATACCGAAAACCGTGATGATTTTGGTCACAATAACCGTGAGGTTAAATTTTCACACCGTGACAACCCTAATACAGACCATTTTAGATTAGGTTACATTTCCTTTATTCCCAGATTATGTAGTTTGTAGCACTCATTATAATGTTGTAGAAAATTTCTGGCCAATCCACGTGATCGGTATCGGTGATCAGCCTTCTATTATATCGGTATCGGTGATCGGCAGCAAAAAACCTGATCGGTGCATCCCTAAACACAACACAATAAAAACATAAAACCATCAGAATAAAATATAACAATCGTAAAACCAACATAAAATCAATTAAAAGAGGAGAGTTAAAGCTAAAAATAAAATCCTGAAAAAGATTAAGCGGCCGGGGCATCGAAACAGGGTAAAATTTGCTAATCCTGAAATGCCTTGACAAAATATGGGTCTTAGGGCGGGTCTTAAAAGCCCCCAATGAGGGTGACTGACGCACCACTAAAGGCAACTGGTTCCATAGTGCAGGTGCCAACACAGAGAACGCACGGTCCCCCCGTGACCTGCACTTAGTGCGTGGAACCATCAACAGCTCCCTGCCGGCTGAGCGAAGGGCCTGCGAGGGGGCATGCCTATGCAAAAGGTTGCCAAGATATGCTGGAGCCGTTCCTTATAAGGCCTTGTATGCCAGTGCCAAGACCTTGAATTTTGCCCTGTATTGCACAGGCAGCCAATGAAGTGATGCCAACACAGGGGTGATATCCTCCCTGCGCCTAGTGCCTGTCACGAGCCTAGCGGCTGAGTTTCTGCTAACTGCTAGCGTGCTACCGCACCCTGACTAAGGCCGGCATACAGTGCATTGCAGTAGTCGAGCCTTGAAAGAACAACAGCATGTGTGACAGTCTGTAGATGTACTCTGGACAGCAGGGGCTTCATTCTGGCAAGTCGGCGTAAGTTAAAAAAACACGATCGCACAACCTGGTTGATTTGCGCGTCGAATTTAAGGGCTGAGTCCAGTTGCACTCCCAAATTTCGGATGGTGGTCTTCATGTTGGATGCTAAAGGGCCCAGATTCACAGCATCACATGGGCGTGTAGGCATGCCAGGGCTAAGTACAATTACTTCAGTCTTAGCATCATTCAGATGTAAAAAGTTTGTAGCCATCTAGGAGCGCACATCCTCTACAAGTGATCTTCTCATGTGAGATTCAGTGATATCTAGTGGCAAAGCGGAAAACTGCAACAAAACTGTATAAATGAGTTCATTTAGCAAAGAAAGTGACTCCATTTTCAGACATGTTTTCATTATTTACTTCAGGTGATGTCGTAAAAAACAAAGTTTGGCGTTTCTGTAAGTGAACTCATCTGATCATGAAGTTCCAGGGAAGACCTGAGAGACTCATCCTGCAGGAAAAACTCTGGCTTCACACGGTTTTAGAAATCAATGAGTCAAAGCATAAAAACGGTTTCGTGGCTGGTAAAATGAGCTTTCTGGGAATTTTTAATTAAAACTAAAGTGTTTTTAATACCCACAAAAATAGTTTGGCACGTTTGGACAACATTAAAGGAAAGTGATGGAAGACCTTTAGCACAGTCTTGACCATTTAAACCAAAAACATGAAGTTTTCTCTGTTCGCATGAAGACAAGGGACATGGTTGCTCACAGTGACATTGGATCCATGCTGCCTGGTCTTCACGGGGTGTATCTAACAGAGGACTCCATTACGTTAATGAAAACAGAGCAGAAGTGATGCCCTGGTCTGCTCTCAGCACTAATCAGCAATGGCGCGGGCGTTGGACAGACACTGACAGGTTTTAGCACCTTCAGAAGAAGACCGAGTCCTTCCTGCAGCGCATACCAAGTCTCCTCCACTCTGCTGACTTTAGGAAGGAGCACTTGAGGACAGTTTATTTTATCTGTCAGATGAAACCAGTAACGTCTGTAGCTTCATACACATGATGAGGCCAATGATGACAGTTAGCTGCTGCACCGTGTCAGGGAGAACTACGTGCGGCCGGCTGCTGCAGGCTAAACCAAACTGTTTGCATCAAGCTCTGCTGCAGCTGAGATGCTCCTGGGTTCCCCATATTTCACAGCAAATGGAAACTATGTGGAGGGCTTCCAACGCCTTTAAGAGCTGAAAAATAAATATGCTGCATCACTCGGGTTTTGCCCACTGGGTCTATTTGCCCTTGCAGGTTATTGCCAAAATAAATGTCAGCCAAGAATGGAGAACGCATGCCTTCAGGATACAAACTAAGTAACAACCGAGGAAAAAGAAAAGGGAAACATGCATTCTTTCAGTGCATCATATTTCCTGAACCCCACGGGCTTCCTTTTCTCACCAAACAGCAACAATTCTACTGTGACAGGTAGCAAAACTGCCGCTGCAGGCTGGGGATGTGGCGAACGGATCAGACTTTCAATTTAAGAACACGCCGCTCTTTTCACTCATCAACCTCCATCTCCAGCCTGGAGTTTCAGTGACTTTGCAGAAACAATCGCTACGCCCACCGTTGTTGGGGCTTTCCACATGCACAGAAAAAAAGGCATCTTAACAACTCTCATATTTTAGTTTTACTAGGTTATAAAGATGCGTGGATTTAGGGTGACACAGCTGATCAGTAACATTAAGCCTTCTGGCCTACTGACAACAAAAACAACTTTCCATCTGTTAAATGCGGTCGAAAAGGGCAATTATTCGGCTTTACAGGCTGTGTGCATTTATAATTTGACTGATCAGGTAGGGGAAAAACTGCAGCTGCACCAATACACACAAATACCAGAGCTTAAATAAGACCTAAAGGTCCAATAAAGCAAGTCCATAAACAACTGACAGTCACAGGCGGGCTGTAACCCTGCAGACTCACCCAGACTTTCCAAGGAATGTGCAACGTTCAGGACAAAAGCCAAAAGCAGCTGCCAAGAGCATCTCATGGTGGCGTCATCTAGTGACACGCAGCTGGACTCACTACAAGTGTGTGTGGAAGACGTGGGTATTTAAAGTGTGTGTGTGTTTTCTCTGTGGTTCATGGTTAAAGGTACACACCCTTTACAGATGACACTGATGTGCGCATGTTTGCTGCCACCTATACAACCACAGATTGTACACACACACACACACACACACACACGCGCGCGCGCGCGCACACACACACGCACACACACACACACACACACGTGTTTTTATGGGTTTTTGTGGACTACGTTTTCTGAGTTGTTTGTGTGGACCCTGACTTCCACTATAGCCAGAATGGTGCAAAAAATATGTTTAACTCTAGGTGGGACAAAGGAAGCTTCCTCTAGGATTTTGGTTGTGTGGACCGGGTAAATGTCCACACAATGTTGGTCTCCGGTCAGGGGTTGGTCCACACAAACCCATAAAGACAAGTGCACGCACACACACACACACACACACACACACACACACACACACACACACACACACACACACACACACACACACACACACACACACAGTGCATAAAACCACTTTTCTGTTCTCTCCTCCTAAACACACTTCAGCGTAGTTTCGCCGTTTCTATCCTGTTTTGCATCTCGGACGCCCCGAGCCCGCGTCTGTTCAGTCGCTCAGCCACCTAGTATAGCCGGCGCCTTGGGAAGTGAAGAAGCATGCATCATTCATACCATCCTGTCCCTGTGGGGTCCCTCAGAGACGTCCTGTCTGACAGCAGAGACAGCTTATGCCCGACGCTGTGGGAAATCACTCACTGCTGGTCATTGTTTTTATGACACAACGTTGCTCTAATTCACTTGAATGCTTTTTTCTCTCAGACAGATTAGTATTTGCATAGTTTGTCACTCTGGGAAGGGAAGTGCAAACAGCTTCACGTGCACGAGGAGGGTAATTATGTTCTGCAGGGATTTGGCGGGGCACAGCTTTTTTAGAGTTTGTCACTCTGTTGGTGATCAGCTTTAGTGTCGAGTCATCCAAACCACCGGAGGCTGATGCTGAACGAATGGGCCTGATACTCACACATATAAGTGATATAAAATGCTGCCAGTGCATTTATTCATGTGGTTTAACGGCTTCTTTAATGATATCTTATGAAAGTGGCACACAATGTGAGAATGTCAGCAGCTGGTGAACAAAGGAAATGCTCGGTCATTGTCGCGTGCCTTACATAAAAACACAGACGTGTTTCAGTCACTTCAGAAGAAAACAAGTAAGTCTAAACTTCAGCTTTAACAAATAACCACCTCAGTAATCCAAAACCCAGAGGCTTATGTTTTTCTAAATGTCCACATTGTCTTTACTTTGCAAAATAAGCCTTTTAATTAAAAAGAAGGACCCTTAAAATGGCAGAATATCTTCAGTAGTTTAGGAACATTTCACATTACCTTGCTGTAAAAGTCCTATATGTATTTTATAGATCCAGAGTTATGTCTGTAGTTATGCTGCTATAGGCTTAGACTGCTGGAGGACATACTGACTACTTTCTTCTACAATCTGCTCTTTAACTGTATTATTTTCTGCTATTTCAGCTGTTAACTTTATTTTCTCTGCAAGTGTTTTTCTCCCCAGAAGAAGCTACAATGATGTTCTGCTGAGCTGTGGTGGCCTCATGGAGGGGGCCATCGTCTAGCACACTGCTGCTAACCACTTAAACATTCTCCCTCTCCTGATAATAACATTTTATTTTGTTCGACGTTGGATGTGCTACTACTAGTTTACCCGTTTAATTATAGATCCACTAGGATAAATACAATAAAGTTTGTCTCTCACCAAATAGAATATTTACTAAGAAATCACAATGTAACCATAGAAACACTACTTGGTGTGTGTGTGTGTGTGTGTGTGTGTGTGTGTGTGTGTGTGTGTGTGTGTGTGTGTGTGTGTGTGTGTGTGTGTGTGTGTGTGTGTGTGTGTGTGTGTGTGTGTGTGTGTGTGTGTGTGTGTGTGTGTGTGTGTGTGTGTGTGTGTGTGTGTGTGTGTGTCTGCTCTGTCTTCTCCATCCCCAGTGAGTCATGGAGGATGACTGCTTATACTGAGCCGGGATTCTCTGGAGGTTTCTTCCTGTTAAAAGGGAGTTTTCCTCTCCACTGTCGCTGCATGCTTGCTTAGTATGAGGATTGCAGTAAAGACTCTGACACTAGTCAGTGACTCGATGCAACCTGCTGGGTTCCTTATATAGGAAACTTTTTTCTGATTGGCTTAATGAACTGACCTGTACTGGAATGTTTACTGTGTGAAGTGCCTTGAGTCGACGCTTGTTGTGATTTGGTGCTTTATAAATAAACTTGAATTGAATTGAATAGATTATATATATATATATATATATATATATATATATATATATATATATATATATATATATTACTCCTCCTTTTATATGTATATTTTTTACTCTGCGGTGTCACTTGATAAATCAAATCTCCTAAACACAATAGGCAAAATGCCACGAACGCAAGTTAACGAGCTTCTGCTTTGGGTTGCTAAATGATCCATGCTAGCTCTTTACTAGCACAGAGAAGAAGCAATGCTAAAAACATTAGCAGAGAGTTAGCATTTCAGAAATAAAAGTCTCCTGATATTAACCTCTCTTTGTTAGCATTGCTTCTTCACTGTGCTAACTTCGGCTAGTAAAGAGCTAGCTTGTGTTACCATTTAGCGAACCAAACCAATAGCTTCATAATGAATGTAAGTGGACACAAACCATTTAAAACATGTGTCCTTTTGTGGCGTCTTAAAAACGGTGACTGTCTCCTTTTCAGGTCCTGCAGCGACCACTTAAAAAACGCGATACACAATACAAATGGTGCTACAACCAGGAAGTGATTCAGCTGCCTAAAAAGTCAGGAAGCATCAAACCAAGGGTCCATAGCATAAACCCTACTCCTTTTATACCCGTAAGTGAAACATTTGATTTTAAAGACAAACTCCTGACTTGTACTCATTTCACAAAGATAAGGAAGTCATTTTCACTGCAATCCAAAATTCCTGGCTTAGATATTCCCCAGTCTGTAGGAAGTCCGGGAGTATGGACAGAGTTTGGAAAACTTCACTATTTTCCTGGGCAAGTGTGAGCTCCTGCTTTTTACACGGCGGGTGAATTGTTAACATATCACAGACAAGATATTTATATTTCTAACAGATGTACAACTCACTTCCTTTCTGAATTGCTGCCTTTCTCTTTATCATTCTCTCTGTGGACGCACATCTGGAATTTCAGCCTGGAAAGAAGAAAAAAAGGTTGCTTGGTGATCAGCCAGGAATAACCACCGTAGGAGGAAGCGGTCTTCTCCATGGTAACCTCTTCAACCCAGAGGAACCTTATCAGGTGTTTCAGTGGAGGAGGCTAATCTCTGATCATCTGTCTGCTGTAGTTCATCTGCGGCAGAGCTATCACTGAACACACACACACACACACACACTACTGAAGAGATACCACTCCGTCTCAAAGCCTGATTGATGCGACTCTCTCAGTCCAAGTCAAGTACCAGGTCAGTCCCGAGACATCGCTGGCATCTATGTACAAAAAAAAAACTAAATACCAAACCAAGTTGCATACATCCCCGTCTGGAGGGGTCATCTGTAATCTCAACAGCACGTTGCAAGTAAGTCCGATGACTTAGTTCTCTCAGCCGTTGTGTCTCCATGCAAATTCAGCCCTTCCAGGACTTGCTATGATGTCAGCGAGTGATGTCGCCAATCAGCACCAAAAGGCATCAAAGGACATAGCATTAAAAGTTTTATTTTGTCAAAGTCCGCCATAATTTCATCCATTCGCAGATCGCCGATACAAGTGGCGGAAATTAGTTTTCTCCGCAGGGTGGCTGGGCTCCCTTAGAGATAGGGTGAGAAGCTCGGTCATTCGGGAGGGGCTCGGAGAAGACCAGCTGCTCCTCCACAGCGAGAGGAGCCAGTTGAGGTGGCTCGGGCATCTGGTCAGGACGCTTCCCTGGTGAGGTTTTCTGGGCACGTCCAACTGGGAGAAGACCTAACGGGTGACCCAGGACACGCTGGAGGGACTATGTCTCTCAGCTGGGCAGGGAACGCTTTGGGATTCCCCCGGAGGAGCTGGCCCAAGGGGCTGGGGAGAGGGAAGTCTGGGCCTCCCTGCTTATGCTGCTGCTACCGCGACCTGGCCCCAGATAAGCGGAAGATAACAAATGGAAGGATGGGCGCTTGTAATTCCAGTTAACTTTTTTTTATCCTGTCTGTCAAAATGACGAAAACTGAAGCTCAACCTCTGCCTACAACATTCCTTCCTTCCTACTCTACGATTAGATGCTTCTGCTTGTTGTCAGTCTAATGACAATTACCACAAACACACACGTCTGGGTACCAGTCACAGTTCTGATCATTTAGAAAGTCTGGTAACCCTTTAAACATTAAAGGGACATTATGGAAGTTTGACAGCCAAAACATGTATAGAAATAATAAATGTCTTCTTCATACATTCTCCTGCAATGCCCTGGTCCTGTAGAATGAGCCCTGGCATTTTTACTGTGATTGCCTGTTTTTCTGTAAAATCACAGAAAAAGAGAGATGCTCGGGTCGAGCAGGCTGCTTCATGCGCGTTCACGCTCAGGCATCGCCCGTAGCATTTGCTATCCGTAGCTTTAGCAGCAGAGAGAGAGGCAGTGCCACTTTGTCGCTGTTCCTAACGCCTAGTGACAAAGCTAGCTACATTTCTGAGGACCCTTAGCTACTTTCTGTAGAACTTTCTTCTAGATATTTCCTGCAAATTAGCAACAAAATAGCCATTTTCACTCCGAACCGTTCTTTGGGCGTTGTTTCAGCTGTCATCAAGGATATAAATGTTACAGATACAAAGAATGTCACTGGCGCTTTAGCTCACCTAGTTAGACGACTGACTCTCGTGCAGAAGACCCAGGTTTGATTCTGGATGTGAACATAGTTCATTTAGAGTTTTTTTTTTACATTAATGGTATATTTTTTTACAGTAAGATGCCCACATTTTTATTTGAGACTCGCCGAACGGCATTGAATTCACAGATAAAAAAGATGTGGGTTCAACTTTCATTTTGGAACAATTTTTCAAGCAAGGGAAGGGAATGATCTGAGCATGCAGGAGGACTGACCCATCTTAAACCTTTGTCGGCTGTGCGGAAGAGAAAGGTACAGAACCACATTATTTAATTAATTAGCTGCGTGTTCTCCTGTCCTCTGTCCTCCGGGCCACACACACACACACACACACACACACACACACACACACACACACACACACACACACACACACACACACACACACGGGACTGTCTCAGCTGTTATTTTCGTTAAGGAGTGTGCACGTACAGCAAATGCACCTCGTGCACGAGCCTACTATTGAAGCTGCCGTTACGCTTTTGGCCTGAGGGGGCAATCGCGAGCATAAAAATTCAAAACTCCGTAAAGTCCCTTTAAACCTACAAAGCATAAAAGGCTGCTCTGATTGGTTTATTGAACGTCTTCACCTTGTGTGTTCAGGAGCACATAATGGTCACCGATGCATTTATCAGCTCCAACAAAATTATATGGATCCATAATGAACGGTCCCATAAATGTTTACGACTTGTAGTTCAGCCTTTTAAAGGCACATTACTGAGCAGAAGCCAGCCTGAACACTGAAGGAGATGTGCTGCGATTCTTTATGAATCAGTGTTTCCTGCCAGCTCTTTGTTTGCAGGACAGGACGAGTCATTTTCAACTGCTGCGGCTTCTACTTTCTTACAACTGACAGGAAGCCTCGGAGAGGTAATAAAAACGCTTTTGAAGATAAGCAGCTGAAAAGATTTGAGAGAAACAATTCTAGCAACGTCTGAGTAAAACAAATAACTCAGCTGAGCCTCGTCCTCTCTGATGCTCCTCAGACGGGGGAGTGCTTAATGGTTACTTAGTCGGTGGACATTACTCAAACGGTGATCAGGCCGTTCTGAAGATGATGCATCTAATGTTCAGGTCATGAGTCGTTTATGCGATTCAACGGTTGAGGCCGAACTGCTGAGTGCTTGATGCTTGTTTAGTTGATGGAAATGACTTAAACACACTCGAGTAGAGTGAAGAAGCATTTCTGGTCATTACAGTAAGTAGTGAGGGAGAGGGCTTATGATAAACGATGCTGCTTCTAAGGAACATGGGGAAGCAGATCTCTTGGTTTTCTGGCAAAAATGGGAGGAAACGCCGGATGTCCTGCCAGGTTTGGTGGCCCGTGGTTGGAGGAGAGAAGCTGCTGGCAGAGCATCAATTGAGAATGTAAGTGAAACAGGCAGCAGATGGTTCTGGTTCATGCACCGGTTGTTTGGGACGTGCTGAGTTTGACTGGGCCTGTGCACCCCCCCACCCCTCCATCAGACCTGGCACCCGGCCCTGCTTCGTCCGCCACAGAGACAACAGCCGGCTGTGAGTTCATGCTAATGCAACCTCCCATCAGAGGGGAGTTACTTTATGATGCTTAGAGCATTAAATGATGCCGTTTATACCTTAATGCAGTTATTTCTCTGCCGTTATTCTACAGAAAAGCTCGTTCTCTTGAGCTGTTTTTGAAAGCCTAACCACAAAGCTGCTGTTGTTGTGCAGAAGCAGAAGGACACACCTCACTAAGCAGTTTCAGAAGTGGCTGTGTGATAACGCCGGGCGCGTTTGCCTGCAGAGTTTCACGACTTGAAGGTCATGAAGTCAATTTTACTTTCATTTACCTGCAGCAGGAATTCATGCATTCACCGACTCAAACGCTAAATAATGACAGCATGTCGGCACAGGCAGCGAGGGGGTTCTCAGAATGAGAGGAGGAGGTGTGGAGAAATGTGCAGAGGTGCTGCATCTCCACCGACACATCCTGGTCTAAAGTCATCCGATCCTCTTCTCTCTTTAAGATTCCCCTTAATTATTTCTCTTTATTTGTTTCATTCAAAGTGTTAAAAAAAATATATATATATATATATATATATACACAAACAACAACAAAAAACATACATAAACATGAACACCAAACAATTTGAATGAAAAGGGGCAGAATGAAGACATATCTTATATTATTTGCCCCATTTCCAAACCAAACTTTTTAATAATGCTTCCATACAATTCTCAATAAACAACAAAACGAAACACAGATTCATTTTATATTCTTGTAACTTACAGACATAATCAGACACCAACTGAATTTAGGTTATTCTAGTTCTGTAATACACTTGATTTGATACATTTTTAAAATATAGTTAGTGACTTTCTCGTCGTCTTCCTCCGCTTATCCGGGTCCGGGTCGCGGGGGCAGCATCCCAACTAGGGAGCTCCAGACCGTCCTCTCCCCGGCCACCTCCACCAGCTCCTCCGGCAGGACCCCAAGGCGTTCCCGGACCAGATTGGAGATGTAACCTCTCCAACGTGTCCTGGGTCGACCCGGGGGCCTCCTGCCGGCAGGACATGCCCAAAACATCTCCCCAGGGAGGCGTCCAGGAGGCATCCTGACCAGATGCCCAAACCACGTCAACTGACTCCTTTCGATACGGAGGAGCAGCGGTTCTACTCCGAGTCCCTCCCGAATGTCCGAGCTCCTCACCCTATCTCTAAGGCTGAGCCCGGCCACCCTACGGAGGAAACTCATTTCGGTCGCTTGTATCCGCGATCTCGTTCTTTCGGTCATTACCCAAAGCTCATGACCATAGGTGAGGATTGGGACGTAGATCGACCGGTAAAACGAGAGCCTGGCTTTCTGGCTCAGCTCCCTCTTCACCCCGACAGATCGGTTCAGCGTCCGCATCACTGCAGACGCCGAACCAATCCGCCTGTCGATCTCCCGATCCCTCCTACCCTCACTCGTGAACAAGACCCCGAGATACTTAAACTCCTCCACTTGAGGTAGGACCTCTCCCCCGACCCGGAGTTGGCAAGCCACCCTTTTCCGGTTGAGAACCATGGTCTCAGATTTGGAGGTGCTGATCCTCATCCCAGCCGCTTCACACTCGGCCGTATTCAGTGACTTTGATTCTTTTATGTCTTTACTAAGGTTGTTCCTTATTCTCACGCCATTTACAGAGATAGTCATTTCCTTCATTCTGGTTCAAAATTTTGTTTATTTAAATACTTCAGTTCCTTTTAAGAAATAATTACTGACTCTTTTTTCAAACATTTTCTGAATGTTGGTGGGTAACGTATTGGTTTTAGCTTTATACAATGTTTGCAATATTTTCATATTCACTAGATCATAAAATTCAGTAGTTTATAATTGATGAATAACGGATTGGATGGATCTCTATTGTGATTGTTATGAATGATTCTCAATGCTCTTTTCTGCAGAATGAACAGTGGTTGTGTATGAGTTTTACATGTGGATCCCCATATTTCTACACAGTAAGTCAAATACGGAACAATTAGTGAGTTATACAATGTCAGCAATCCAGAACTATTCAGTAAAAACTTAACTTTATGTAGTACTGCAATGGCTTTGGCAATTTTACCTCTGATACTGATATATGATAATGAAGTTGCTTTCGTCATAATTTACTGTATTTTTGTCAGAGCTCAGGTCACAGAGATCCACCAACTTTATGTACAGTGATGCTGAATACGTCCACCAAGACCAAAGAGGATGCATAAACCCACGAGTATGTACTGGGTGGGCCCTGTGGTCTCCTACCAATGGGATGAATCCAGAAAACCCTCAGTCTTTCATCTCAGCAACATCGCTAAGCTGAGTCCCATTCTGTCCCTTCATCTCTTCACGATTACACTACTGCATAGGGCTGCAACGATACCACTTTTTTTCAAACCGATACGATACCGATACTTGGATCTGAGTACTCGCCAATACCGATTGCCAATACCGATACTTCTACCACACAAAAAAATGCAATGATTTGGAATACAGATTTTATTTTCTTCTCTGCTTTGAACAGAAAAAGACTGTGAGGTAGATAAAAAGTAAAATATATGAATGGAAATCATCACAAAACTAAAATATTAGGTGAACAGAAATGGCAAGTTACAGGGAAGCTATTTTCAAGCAACTGCATTGGTATCGGTTCCTGGAATCGGTTAACTTTTACCGATACTGGTATTGGTATCTGCATCGGCACCGATACCGATACCAGTATCGTAACGATGCATCCCTACTACTGCACATTTTCACCCGTTTGGCTAAAACCTGCTCCTGGTCCATCTCTTGCTTCATTCTACAATTACTTGGGGTGTCTTAGTAATACTTAAAGGGACTTTACGGAGTTTTGAACTTTTATGCTCGCGATTGCCCCCTCAGGCCAAAAGCGTAACGGCAGCTTCAATAGTAGGCTCGTGCATGAGGCGCGCATGCTGTACGTGCACACTCCTTAACGAAAATAACAGCTGAGACAGTCCCTTGTGTGTGTGTGTGTGTGTGTGTGTGTGTGTGTGTGTGTGT